TCCGCAGCGACCTACTTTTCCTGATGTGCAGTAGGAGTAGCCTTTAAAGCAACTTCAGGGCCCGGGATCGATGTGATTAGTCACATGCTTGGTTGTTGTTTGACCAGCTTTGGGCTGCTCACAGGTGCGGCTGCCCGAGAAACGATGCACACACTTTCTTTTTGAACTTGGGTTGGTGGCCTGTGCGGCCAGCGGTGTCTCCCAAGGCCTCCCTAAGCAAACCTGTGAAAGGGAGTGGCCTTTAACGGCACTGTGTACAGATACGCCAGAGACAAGTGCGCTCCACGAAGGTGTAATACTGGTCCGGCACGCCCCTATCACACTGATTGTGTACGATGAGGCCGCAAGTGTGACAATCGTTAGCCTTGTCGGGAGGTTTAGTCAAACTTACCTTTCTTTCTATTCTGCCTCTCAGTGGTAGCCTTCATATGCAGGCTATGGTTTGGGGTCGGTGTACCGGGAAAACATGCTCTTCGGTGCTCATGGGTTCTGAGGGACGAGAATTTGACTTCTTCCAGGAATTGGTAGTTGCGGCTGATCTCCTAAGGTCTACCTGAGATCACGTGCGGCAACCTTAAGCCTCTTGCCTCCGGCCCTAGCTACTACAAAGGTGGGCGGGGTTAGTGACTGGGGTGAGACTTTACCTGAGGTTTTCCTGGGGCCGGATTTGACCAGAAGCTGCTGACAGCTAACCGCAGAAAAACATCACCACAAACGATGAGTTAGAAGCATATCGACAGTCGTTGAGCTAACCTGGTTAACTAGTTGCTAGCCAATCCTAAGCCCGGGTAAAGAGGGTAAATTGGGCATAGGGCTAACAACCCTACCCCGTAAAAAAATGTGACCACTAAAGAAACTTCAAGGCACGAAGAAAATTCAAAACATAAAAACAAAATTATTCCTCACTGGAATCGGAGAGGCGAAATGACGCCCATTGGTGAAAGCCTTCAGATAGTCAACTTACCAATGTGTCTTCTCTTCTCTTGATGAAAGCGACAGTAAACATAAGGACATGGAATGTCCGTACTATGTTCGAACCTAGCAAGGCTGCCAGATTGCAAAAGAGATGAAAGGTATCGCATAAAAGTGCTGGGAATCTGCGAGGAATCTATATATGGAATGGAAGTGGACTCTACAAACTGTCAACTGGAGAATCAATAATTTACCCAATATTGTCACGCAGACGATAACCACGAGCACACTGTGTATTGGAGTGACTATCATGATGTTCCCAACAGCATCAAAGGCCCTCAGGTAATGGGAACCAATCTCCTCCTGCAGGATCATGACTACAAGATTCAACTCAAAAGAAAGGAAAGTTACAATCACACAATGCTACGCTGTGCACCTGCAAATAGTGCAGATGAAGAGAAGAAGGAGGGATTCTACAGACAACTGCAATCAGTACTGGACAAGACCCTACTCAGTTGGTGACATCGAAATCCTGATGGATGACATGATTGCCAAACTGGAAGCAGAAAACACAGGAAGAAAAATCATCTATCATGGGTCGAGAAGCGCTCGGTAAAATGAACGAGAACGGAGAATTTTTGCAGAACTCTGTGTATTCAACGATCTGGTGATTGGAGCCAGGCACTGTGTTCAAGCACAAGGATATTCACAAAGCAACATGGATTTCATCAGATGGACATACTGAAAATCAGATCGACTTTATCTCAATCTCAAGAAAGTGGGGACGAAGCCTACTTGACACAAGGTGAAGAAAAGGAGCAGACGTAGGCTCAGACCACTATCTAGTGCAAGGAACCTTCCAAATCAAGTTGAAAGCCTTGAAGGAAGTTGCTGATAGACCACAGTTCAAGTTCAACACCCAGAAACTAAAGGACATCTTCACGGCAGCCATGAAGACAAAATGGGAGATATCGAGCAACATCCCTGAAGAAATCTGTGTGGATGAACACTGGAACTGTTTGAAAGAGATGTGGAAAGAAACCTGCACAGCCGTATTAAGAAGGAAGGAGAAAGAAGATAAGAAATGGATCTCGACGGACACATGGAAGCTGATAGAGCAGGGAGAGAAGGATGGTGAAGCAGAAGATAAGCCAGTGCAAGGATGAACGACGAGAAGAGCAACTGAGTACAAGGTATGAAACATTGGACAAAGAGGTGAAGGAGAGTGCGCACAAAGACAAAAGACACTTCTGTGACACATCGGCAAGTGAAGCAGAACAAGCTGCTGATAGGAGAGACAGAGACCTGACAACATTGTATCAAACAACCAGGTTGCTTTCTGGAAGGGAAGAGATCAACACAGAAGAAACCAGTGAAAGATAGTGAAGGAAACCTAGTTACCAAAGAAGAGAAACAAAAGGAGTGATGGGCTGACCACTTCAAAAAGCTCTCGAATCGACCACCACCACCTGCAGTGCCTCCAGAAATACCATTTGCAGCGGCAGAATTACAAGTGAACACAAATCCACCAACAAAAATCGAAGTCTTGAGTGCCATACAGCTAATGAAATGCGAGAAAGTAGCAGGACCAGATGAAATCTCGCCAGGAGCACTGACAACAGACGCAGGGACATTAGCGGACATGCTCACACCACCAATGAAGAAGGTCTGGACGGAAGCAAAGTTACCTGTTAGTTGATTTGAAGAAGGATTACCTTGTCAAACTCCCGAAGATGGGCAACCTGAATCTTTGCAAGAACTGGCACGGTATCACGCTCCATCTCTGCCAACGCCAAGCAAAATATTCAGCCACATCATCCTGGAGAGACTAAAAGATTCGTTGGATTCAAAACTACGACCCTAACAGGCTGGATTCAGGAAGTACAAATCTTGTGCGGACCAAATTGCATCGCTTCACATCATCATAGAATAGAGCAAAGAATGGCAGTCAACCCTCTACCCAAACTTCATCGACTTTGAGAAGACCTTCGACAGCATCGACCGAGAAGTAATTTGACAGTTGCTTCAATACTACGGAATACCACAGACCTTTATCAACCTCATCCAACAACTATATGAAGATGCCGCATGCCAAGTAATTCACAATGGAAAGCTCAGTGATGTCTTTGAAGTGAAGACAGGAGTGAAACAAGGCTGTCTACTATCACCCATGATATTCCTGATTGTGGTCGACTGGATTGGATTATGCAACAAACAGTGAGGAGCAAGAAGAAGGGGATACACTGGATCGCGGAAAAGAACTTAGAAGATTTGGATTTAGCCGATGATTTGTGTCTGATGTCCCACAAACTTGGAGATATACAGGCGAAAACTAACAAGTTGACAGAAGAGGCAGGGCATCGAAGACGGGACTTCAAGTGAACGTAGAGAAGACAGAGGTGATGAAGATACCCAACCAACACCACCACCACCGACGAGCTCCAATCACCATCAACGGGGGAAACCTAAAGGAAGTAATCTCTTTCACCTATCGAGGCAGAATCGTTTCAACTACGGGCAGCATGGACGAGGATGTCAAAGTCAGGATCGGAAAAGCAAGACAGGCACTCATTAACCTGAAACCAGTGTGGAGATCTTCTGCACTCCACTCAGCATAAGGCGTGAACAAGATCCGAACTTTCAACACCAACGTCAAGTCAGTGCTCCTGTATGGCTCAGAGACTTGGCGGGTTACGAAAGGGATTTCCAACAAACTACAGACATTCATCAACAACTGCCTACACTACTTCGTTACTGCAGATCAGATGGCCAGAATAATGAGAATAGGCAACAAGGGACTCTGGCTGGCGACGAACCAAAGAAGCTATCGCTGAACAAATATGCAGGAGGAAGTGGAGATGGATTGAGCATAGACTGAGAAGGCCGACCGGGGACATCACGCTTCAGGCCAGGTCATCGAGTGGAAGCCAAATGGTAAGCGACAAGTTGGGCGTCTGTGGTGAGAGTGAGATGGAAGAGATCAGGCGAGGAAGAAATGATAGCTTCTGGGCTGACGTGGAGCCAGGTTCAAAAGATTGCAGAGAACCGAGTGGAATGGAGACGTGCTACTGAAGTCCTCTGTTCCACTAGGAACCCAAGGGACAAATAATAATAATAAATTCAACAGTCGTAAGGGACATACGTTCCACTTTAAGAGTTGATTATTTCAGCAACTGACAGAAACCGTAGGTACTAAGAAATTCTTATTACTGGATATCATGCATTCTTGAACGAAACGACTTAAAAGTCTCATGAACATTTAGAGCCTTCTCTAGCACATTTCGATAAAGATATAAAACGGGGTAAAAGACTTCCAATCATCTTATTGGGTATAGGATTCGCAGTCAAAAAAGATACTGGTTGCTGAACGGCACGGTTAGTTTAAGGGATTACCCTACGCTACCATGGGCATTACTTTGACCCAGCAAGCCACTTCCCATTAGGTGCTGTTGCTTAAATAGTATACGAATGATATGCAACATATAGCTCCTAGAAATAAAAAAGTAAGGTTTTATTCATGGCCATCTTTTCGAGTGCTTACACACGTTCGTAAACAAAATATTTGAAATAAACAAAAGAATGGTAATCTAGGTTAAAATTATGATGAGCTGTTTTCGTAATTTAGATCTATTAAAAATCAAGACTATAGTTTTCAGTTCAAAATAACTAGAACTCTTCCAACAACATTGAATACTTCGAACAGTAGGACTTTAGACAATCCCAAGTTTCAAGTTATCCAGTCGTAAGGCAATGAATATATATATATATATATACTTATAAACCAAGCAGATCTGATGCGCTACTGATTTTTTCTTTTAAGTTTCATAGAGCTGAAGCTCCACAAAGGCTACGCTCAATTAATATAACCCTATTGAATACTGACAATCCAGTCTACGGATGAAGTTATCATTCTTAAAACAACGAATACACCTTTAAATATGTTCAAGAACTACGTCATCAGACAGGACCACATAGGATTACATTTCCCGAGATTAGTTTGTACTAAAGGTAAAATCCAACGTGTTACCATAATTACGCTACAGAAGCTTATGAATAAGGTAAAGATACACTTAGAAAGAAAACATATTGAAACCTGGAAACTTTATTTAGATGAAGTCAAGTTTTCCCCCCTTCTTTGAATATGTAAGTCATGTCGAATTTTACGGTACAAACTCAAGCACAAGTTTAAGATTATAAATAAGAAACCTTACAATGAGGTTTATTTGTAGCAAGGAGCTGAAAAGTCAACAATACAATAATAAACGAGACGAAAAGCTTTTTCACATGTTTGGATGGAAATAACTTGCATAATTGAAAATTTTTTGTATACAAAAAATATTTTCCATTTTTATGAAGAACGAAAAATCAGAGATGGTAGACTCCAAAAGATTTAGTAATCCTCTCCGCGTGAGACAACTTCTTTACACGTTGGTCTTAGTAAAATTGTATGCTCCCACTGAGCAGTATATGATCCACGTTGATCACACAGAGGAGGATAAGGGTCTACTATACCTACATCGCACAAATTCTTTAGAGCCATCAGATATTTTGTCTCGCCTAAACGATCCAACCATCGACGACAGAAAGCAAGGGTGCTGAAATTACGATCGATTACACTCAACAGTTGCTTAGACCTAGCTAATCTGTAAAAGAATAAAAATATGAATGAACAACATCAAGTTTAGAGATCTAAAAGAAAGTGAAGACAGTTTAAAAATATGCAAAAAAACTACAGATTCAATGATAAAGGCTAATTGGATATGCATTACAGATTATGCAGTTATTCAATAGGTATATGTGTACTCATCAGTACGTTAAAATATTACATCCAGTAGATAGTTCAATCTGTATACTAAATTGAAAGAGTGAAACGTTTCTACCTACGTGTCAACTCAACATAGATGAGAAAATAACCACAAAATATAAGAGATAGTAAGAGAATAGATTTATGAATTAATTTGAAAACAGTTAAATCAAGAAATAACCTACATACACTTAGGTTGGAACTGTCAACTGTGTTTATTTAGTTTACTTACAAAATGATAAGACAGTAAAAAGAGTGCTCTGACTACATATTGGTCAAAGTTAATGTTGTGTTACTCCATATTCTGTGGCAACGAAATCAACTACCTTCTGCTTAGACTTGAGTCACAAAACACCGAGATTTGATTTCTGTTGAAGGAAGCATCTTGGGATAGGAATCAAGACTGAGGTTCTACGTGATAAGGGTAGAAATATACTGGAATAGTGAAATATCTACCAACTTAAGTACTACTAATATACAACACTTGGAACTACCAGGAAAACATTATGAAGTAGGATGCATAAAACGTGCTAAAAGAAATAAGAACACGTTAATGTATGAGCATATATGACCAACTTAGAACACATCAGTGCATAAATTAATACACATGGGCTATGAAAGAACGCAAGTTAAACCCTAATCTGCATGTCTAATGTGATAGGATGATTGTTTTTTAAATAACTGCAACATTTCATTCTAACTAAAAAAGAGGATGCATATCGCACAAAGATCCTAAATGTAAACACATACTCCTCAACAAAACCTTATCTTATTGTATACGCAATAACATTCAGAGAGCTGTAGACGGTGAGGCGTGAAACATTTAGACAACAATTGGAAATATTACACAATAATTACATTTGTCTAATAGGATAATTTCAAGGCTAAATTTACCAAACACCGTGTCAAATGCATTAAATTACAGTGATGTCTAGTGTTTTTCAGTTTATGCATATGATATTATCAATCAAATCGAAGGCTGAAGAAAAAAGAATTCCAATGAACCAGGAAGGAATAACTCACAAGTACTGCAAATTCTGGCAATGTAAAGTAATGGACTTGTGTGCAATTTCCTACATCAATCTTTCAGGCTACTATATAATTCAACAAATTGCATGAATCAGTAGCCTACAATTGCTAAAACAGTTTTAACTGCTTTTCACTATTTCACAGTAATCTGCATTAAAAATACCAGAGGAAAATTTCATTAAAAATTGTGCATTATATAAACAAATCTCCCTATGTGAATTACAGAAAAGTTCGTTACATCAAACCTACACATAAAAAGAGTAAACTACAGTGTTGACTTGAGTCGTAGACGCATTTCAAGTATAAACAGAACATATACGAAATGACAAAACTAATATTATTTTCGACTACGTAAGATAGCATCATCCACTGACAACAGCATCCATACACATACATACCTTAAGGGGACATGTCCAACATCGAAATTCTTCATATAATGTGAAACTTCATCTCCATCAATGACATAGCCTTTCCCTGTACTACCGAAAGTTTCGATAGCGTAATATTCATTTTCCTGAAAATAAACAATTTAAGGACATGAATGAAATGCGTTCAAATCTCGAAATATTCTGCTTCAAAATACAATGCAATAAATGGAACAACCTACTCAAATATCTCTCATAGGAAAGAACTGAACCATTAAAGACGATATTTTTGGTTAGTGCAGCGAGATTGTGAGAATCAGTCCCAAGACTATTTTAGTTGATCAGAAGACAAATTATTGTGATACACAATTGTGCATCGTTCCAATTTATTTACCTTCTCAACAATAACAACAAGGCATGCACAAAAGGACCGACATAAAACTAACACAACTATCAAGACAAAACAAACAATCTGTCAAATTCGGCCTTCACATTAATTATTTCTTGATGCAATAAATGTAGAATGTTGTCAACCCAAATACTTTCAGAGGAAAGTATTGAATAATTCACGTGTGAATAACAGTCATCTACAAGAATTGGTTAGACAGAAATGGTTTAAATGATAAGGTTTTGAAACAGCAGCCGATTCACTATCAACAACGAAGATAATGTTACCATTCGTTGATATGCTTTTAATTCTTCGTTGTTTTACTAGATCGAACTGTCCAACATCTATTAGCATATGAGCTACTGTGGGGATACCTTAATACTGTCTGGATATTTATTATGACAATTTACTTGGGCGTGGCTAGCAGGAGAACCCAGGACGTGCGTTTCGTCTTATTTGGGGCTCGTCAGCTGTATGCACCTCCACAACAGTGGGTATTGTTCCCACTGAGACTCAAACCTCGTACACATCCCTTCAAACTCCAAGGCGTTACCCACTAGGTCCCTGAAGCATGATAATCACCTCTTGCACAACGGGTATTAGGTATTATTATTTATTGATATGTTTGTAATTCTCCGAGGTTTTACTGGATCAGACTGTCCTACTTCTATTGGGATATAGTCTCCTATGCGGATGCCTCGATATTGACTAAATATTTATGATAATTTACTTGGCCTAGTGGATGATAACGCCTTGGCGTTTGAAGTGATGGGTGCGAAGTTCGAGTCTCGGTGGGAACAACGTCACTTACTGCGATGTAGGTGCATCCAACTGACGAGTCCAAAACAGGACAAAATGCGCGTCCTGGACTCTTCTGCTAGTCATAACCAAGTTAATTATCATAACGAAGATAATTTAAAAAAAATTCAAAATAATTATTCGTTGACGAATAAAATATAAATATGAATGATAAATTATAGTGATATTCTACGACAGTAATTTACGTATTACGTAACATGTGCTAGGCAAAAGCGTATGCTAGTTTATGGCATCAATTCTAATCATCAAGATGCCTGGTTTCTGTATTACTCTCCTCTTTACGAAAGTAAAAATTCAGGATGACTAATGATGACACATGTTTTCTACTCAATTCCATGGATGAATGTAATGAAATATCACTTTGAAAGCTAGATAGATGTTTGTGGATGAAGTGAATACGTTTTTAACAGTCACATATCAACTCTTTTGAGAGATACAAACCTAAAGAAATGAAATGGTTACATAGATAATTGAAGTGCAAGTAACTTTCAGAAATTATTGATGAATACTAAGATCAACTACGATATTGTCTCCTAAAAAAATTAACAATGAACGATGATTAAAAAAAACGTTGCAACCACTAGTAATTGTTATCATTTCTTTCTTATTTTACGGTAACAACAAGTGAAAGTGGTTTACATTTATAAATCATTCTTCACCGGCATGTTTTTAGTTGTCTATTGTTTTTAAAAAGTTTGATAACTAGCAATTGCATCCATCATAATTGACTAGTGATTGAATAATGATGACTTTACAAAAGAAATAGTTGGTCAATTATGAAGGAATAAAAATCACTGTACAATTACCTGAAAGTACTGCTAGTTAAAACATGTCATATTCCAAGTAATTTAATTTCTAAACAGTTAGTTAACATTAAAAGGCTACAGTATGCATTAACATACTAACCTCCATACGAGTTTGTTCTCCTCCACGTACAATCGGTACAGTTTTTCCAGCATGAATTTGATAGGGTCCCAAAGAATGACCATTCAAATTGCGTATAGGTTTAACTAAAAACAAACATGAATAAACAAGTCACTAGATAACTTTCATTTACTAACACATTATCAACAACAAATCTGTGCACATTCATGTAGTTGGTAATGAGTCACACCTCATTGTGTGACAGGGTTCAATGATACTACCTTGTTGCTCAAATCTCGATAGCTAAAGCAGTGATTGAACCCTATGATCCATTGATTAAAAGTCAACTCCCTAAACTAAATGAACCACAAATACACACTAATAAATTACAGGTGAAATCAACAAGTAGTGCTATTCTTCATATAATTCCAGTCATATTTTGATCAATCGTCAAAGTTCATCACAATCTTGATTATAACGACAACTCATACATTTACATAATTTGTTGTTGACCTGTTTTGACAAACCTCTGTTAACTATCACATATTAACAGAAGACAAATATGTAAAACTTTACTATTGCATAGCTTCAAGAATGAAATTGCGAATGTACTTGTGTTCGAGTTGGATACAGAAAATGGTTAACGAAATAACCGAATGACACTTAGTTGATACAAGTGTTTCTGAAAGTTAACTATAGGATATATAGCGGAATAGTGTGTGGAAAAATGCACGTAGACGTTCGTACTCGTACTTTTTAATACGTATGAATCGAAATGAATCAAACTATAAAGAATTCTTAATAATATTTAATTTTCAGAAAAAAACATTATTGTAACGTAAAGCGCTTTCAATACTCTATTAAATCAAAATTATCACATAGGAAGTCAGCATATCGCAACGTCAGCAACTGAGAAACAGAAAACAGTACTATAAGATCAGGGAATATGAACAGACGGCGATAATAAAGATAAGTGAACAAGTGGGATCTTCAGAAATATACAGGCGCAAAACACGTAGCGGAGTCTGTCACTGAGGTCTTCGTAAATTTCTGAGCCAGAAATATTCGTTGTTAAAAGCTTATTTTTAGTTAATGATAATATTGGTAGCCTTGGTACCTAGGTCGGATAAATATGTCCATTTGCAGATTTTGGTACCGGCTAAATAAACTACCACCACCAAAATACACTTAATTTTCTATTCATTCTCTAGTCCAAAGCAGATACTAATGTAATACCAGGTGCTTGTTTCACACTATAGCTTTTATTACTGTTATTATTAAGATTATTGAAACGCAATGATTACTTCGCTTGGAGATATTGTACAGGGAATGAATTTGGTGAACTATTACATGCTGAGAATTCCATAATGTACCACAAGTCTTGTTTAGAATAAAGTTATTATCATTGCTGTTGAAATTGTTGTGGACAAACAACTTAACTCATGTAAATATACTGTATTGCTGTGCATTTACAACCTCATCTCTTACCGGCGTGTCGTTTATTTTTTGTTTTACTGTTAGCTTGAAAAACGGCAGTTTGAAACTATTTTAAAAGTGCACAAGAGTACTTCACGCGTTTAAAATGCATATTCTATGAGATTGAAGCAAACTGAAAGGGATGAATTCATTTAAATAAATGTCGTGGGAAATTTTCGACAGCCCAAAGGTTACGCTGGCTGCTGTTTTATTAAGAATGTTTAGATGTGCACCATTAGTTCTGTTGACAATCTTCAAAGTTCTACGCAATATAGCACAGTCCTTTTTTAATATGCCAGGAACGAATAATGGGGTACTATATAGGAGAATAGGCAAGATGCGAAACACAAGAGAAGAGACTGAGTTATACCAGATACTCTCAGCTTCCTAATATAGAAAGTTAAGTGGAAGATTCTTTAGGAGATTAGTAAGAAATGGGAGGACCAGGAAACATTCGAAGGAAACAACGCACCTAGATAAACTACACTTGTAACCTTCTCCAATGCGCAACCACTAAGTGAACAGCAATCATGAGATCTAAACAGTTTATATACGTTATGTTCGAATCCGAACCTGAAGTTTGTTGTTTGACATTTTGAAGAATTAAGCACAAGACCATACATGGAGGACGATCGTACAACAGTAGATCGGAAATCCTTTAGTTGAGAGAAATGTAGTGAAGGGGGGAGACAGGTATGGAGACTGTCAGGTTATCAGCATGCCTGACAAAATCGCAACTAGCTAAATATGGTAATTCACACAGAAAGAAATAAAAAAAAACGGGGGAAGAACAACACCTTGGGGAACACAAGTTTCAGTAAGCAGTGAGTCGGAGCGCTTGCCTCAGTGATCAGTATATTGTTTTCTTTTAGACAAATGGGATTACGGTCAGTTGATTATCCGGGACTCAGTGTTTTCGGGCTTTTTTCTATGGACCTCATTTACGGCTATCAATCACACTCAATATATTCGGAAACACGGTTGCTGAAATATAACGTTTTCATTACTACAAAATAAGGATTTCTGAATATTCTGCATTAATTTTGAATCTTATTTCTACAGGACGGCGATTACTTTCTTAAAAGTGACTTCATCTGATAAATAATTATGATTTTCTTAGCCTATCTAAGCACAAATATCTTATCTGGGTTCAACTAATCAGATTCTAGGAGATAGTTGTTCTCTTGGTTGGACAACACATCGTTTATTTCACAAAGGAACCACCAAAATGACATTTCCTTTCCAATTTTTTCTATTCATTCCACAAAATTAGGGATGAGATGTACACCGGGTAATAACGGTCAACTGTTTGCTTTGATTTTTACTCCCATCATACGTCTGTTATAGACTGGGTATTCGCTGTTCTCTGGTTGGTCGACGTGTCGACCGCCATACATACTGATCGACTCATTTTATTCGTAGTTGAGTGCGGGTCAAGTGTTTTGGATGTAAGTTTGATATTTATATTAGTAGTTCATAAGTATAGAAAGATAGGAAAATAAAAGCAACAACAATATAGAAACACTTATTATTACAAAAAACAAGGCAGTCTTCTGATTTAAAGATACTCTCGGGTACGTATATCCAGGTTAAATTAACACACGGATAGTAATTTTGCGCGAAGTATTACTGAAAGTTTGCAAAGTTTATCATTGCTTAATCATTCATTAAAAAGATTTTCAACAAAAGATTGATTCAATTTATAAAGCACAGGCTCTTCATAGACTAATTAACCATTTACCTGTGGCCGCGTAGAAAATGAAGTTGCAACCTATCAGTAATGAAACTCAACCAGACAGAAGAGTGTATATATGTTATTGCTGCAAGTACGTTGTTAAATCACGGGATTGAAAGCAAAAGATTAGGGAAATTGTAAGAAAGCCTCACTTTACAAAGTTAATGTCACAGTTTGATTACCTTGGTAAGTATTTCCATCCAGTTCTACTTCATACGATTCCATAGTCTCTTGAATAGCTGCTCCGATATCACAGAGACGGACGTCAATCCCAGCTGCCTAAATATCAGATAAAATAAAGTTTTTATTATTGTACGTCAACATGGCCTTAAATACATTGAAATAGAGAAGAAAAATTCACAGCTGTATATAAAATGATAATAAGGTTAAGGATTCAGGTATTTATGAAGCCGATAACGAACACTGTCGGATCGCAATAGACTAACATGCTGAACACGGATGTTTGGTTCACTAGTGAACGTAATGGTTGAAGCTCGGTCAACCACACTACTCAAGACTTCAAATTACTACTGCACATTCCCACTTTCATAACTTAAGTCATGTATATTAAATCACCCTATACACAACATGAACCTAAAAAAACAAAGTTACCAATGCAACTAGAGTTTTTTTTTTACGGAATTCTGTTTCTCTAGGAAAAGGCTAGTAAAACATGAGAACTCCAAACAACTAAGTTTGACTTGAGCTTTGTCAGATTTTGAGGGATTAATAAAAAAACTGAACAACTCTAGTCGAAAGCTTGACAGAGTTTGCATAAACTGGTCTAGATAGCACTGCCACAACAGCTTTGTTAGATATATACCTCATGCTGTGATCTTTATATAGGGAATGTAACCAATTAAAATATCGTCCTAGGATAACAGCAAGTTTTCCATTTAAGTCGCAGTTTGTGTCGTCGATGCAAGATGATTTCACCATATTTATAGTAGGTTCAAGCACTCCCTACAACCTTCGGAACAAGAAATATATACTTCTTCCTAGGTAAGCGACATTAACAACTCGAAATAATGATAATCTGTAAAAATCATCTAAATGCCGCCTAAACAGACCACTTCGAACAGTGACCTAACCACTTTACAAACTAACTACGACTTGAAAACGGCAGAGTATGGCGCAGGAGTATCTGTAGTAATACTTTAATCACAATGGAGGTGGGACTCACTGGTTCGGGCACTCTGCTACTGATGAGTGACTTACGGTTTTGAACCCCTCTTCAGATAGTACAAGCAGGATAGCGAGACAATAAGCAATAATGTGCTTATCCCACCCATTCAAGGATGAGTATACTGCGATGAAGTTTAGTTTGTCCTATTATGCGACTTTTCAACATGTCAGTTGAAATCAGAAGCGATGAAAAGACTACAGGTGTCGTCATAGCATTGCTCGTGTTTGGTAGAGCAGTGATGGGCTAGGTAAGGAAGAAAAGTCAGTCAATGGAGTTGCGTAATTCCAGCGACTGACATGGCTTGAATATGTATTGTGCGTACCGACCAACCGCTTGCCTTGACGAGTAATGCTAACCGAAATAGGATTAGGTCGAAAGAAGATTCAGGAGGATCGGACCAAAATTTGCCACAAGTTCATGAATTCTCCAACTTTCGATCTAAGAGAGGTGTCGACTGACTGGCTGAGATCCTCGAGACAAGAGGAATTCAAAGTTATTGACCCTTGGTGGTATTACTGAAAATCGACTACGATGGGGCAGACGTACACACTATCATTTTTGAAGTCTTGAATATCTTTATTAACCGTTATGTATTCATTCTCCATCTTCCCATACATATGCATCTGCCTACCTCAATAAATATCACATTTTATATCCTTTTAGCACGCTTCTTTTATATACGGCAACTAAAATCGATGCACTTCTATGTCCCGTTACACATTGGTCTGCCTCATGGATTCCAAAGAGGAAGCACAGACTTCGTTATAAGACACAGATCAATAGCTATAGACTTCTTGAATGGTCGTCACACACCACCTGTTCGTACTCCAGAAAATTAAACACACGTACATGCTGCTTTTTTGGGGATTCCTCAGCTATATGAGAGACATCTCTAATGTGAGTCAACATCTATGATGAAATCAAATTCAAAGGTGTTACGGAGTGTCTAGAGTTTTATCTTTTCATACACTTTAGGGATTTTGGTGGTTGCTTTGCCACTAGATGACACCGTGATCCAGGTTTGTCTGGAAGCAGGTAAAGAGGTATGCCGAGAGTGCTTATATTGGCGTATTCAAACACGTTAAATGAATAGTAGTCTGTCCAACAACTAAATGCATGCTGCTAAGCATCTTGTTCACTGCCATGACTTGCAGCTATATAATATAGTTGGCCACGAAAGTAATGCACACTTTGAATTGAATGTTCAAAACAAGCAACGATTTTGTGTTGATTTTCAAACGCTGATAGACTGACTTAAAGTGAAGATTTTCCGAGACACAGTTGCTCCTCAAGGTCTTGCATGTGTTACTGTAATTTTTACTGAGTTGAGCATGTATATGAAGCTGACATAATCATGTGAGATATACAATGGTGCAACGTAATCATACTTTGTACATATATCACCATAAATCGTTGATAACAATGTCACGATTCTGTGACTGGAACTCAGTTACTTTCAAAACTTATGTATAACATTATTATTTGACTATCAGAGATAGCCGCGGTTTGGCAGACTAGTATTTATATTGGGTGATGATTGAAAGTGAAATAAAAATTTGGACCGCTGCCGTATTAAAACTATCCACCTTCCCTCTGATTCAGTTAGATTTGGATTGGGATGAGAAGTCCTGACAAGGCAGACAGTGTGAATACGATCAAGCAGTAGTAATGCCTCATGAATTGACATAGTAGTCGGGCAAAACCCTTGATGATTGAAGTGAAATAGAAATCTGGTCAGCAGTTGGACCTCGTAACTCAGTTGGTAGAGCACCGGGCAGGCAACCCGGTGGTCGCTGTTTCGAATCTGGCCGCGGTCCGAATTTTCATTTCATCTTCAATCATCACCTAGTACTATGTGTAAAAATATCTTTTAATGAGTGTCCGACTTCCACAGGTTGAATGGCATAGATTATGCTCAATTACAGATTTTATTGCTACAGGCTATAATCAAAACAAAGGTTAGAAAACAGTAACTGAAGAATATATCCTATTAACGTAGATGAGCGTTACGTATTTGATTAAACAATTTCTGATTTGACATAACTAATATTTAATTACGTAAATATTGAAACAGACATACCTTAATACCAGTATTAGTTGCATCTTTAACAGCTTCAACCAAAGTGTCAAATTTAGGATTAAAATGAAGTGTGAAGGCACAATCAATAATACGACCTGAAACAAAAGTAAATGGTTAGTTTCAATTAGTGACTGAATGTTTAACTGATGTAAATAGTCGTATTAATCTCAAGTGGCATCAAAATTTGAAGCAAATGAGACTTTTCAAGATCAACAACATAATAATCACTGAAATAATTACAAGGTTTGATAAGTTATTACCCCTTAAAAGTATAAAAGGAAAATAAACACATGAATAAGCAATTTTGTAGTTATTCCCAGAAAAGTGTTTGGAACTATAAACACTTGAATAATTAAAAGTTAAATTTTGCCATCTGACATTTTTAAGTGTACACCATTGGACTATAGAAACAGGCTGGTCGAATACACTATCTATACATTTCAAAATGCTATAAATTTGATCATCAAAGGCATAATTTAATAAACACACAGTTAAAAGGTTAAACAGATGAAAGGTGACTAGTAAGACATTTTCATTCTAGTGCAGTCTATTGGAAACCTTGACTTATTCATGTATTTAAAAATAATAATAAAGTAGATAATTAAACTGATGCTATTCAATGCAGCGCTCCAAACTGATTTTTCTAACCCAGCTACCTGGTTTACTCGTGTTAGTTAGACTGTAAAAAAATATGCTTAGTTGATATATATATCAGTGGCAAAAACGTCGACTTCCGTTAGCACTGACGTCCGTTATACAATGATACATTATGCAATATTAGTGGACAGTATTATCTTACTTGTTATCATGATGCAAAATGGTTTACAAGAAGTCAATAAAAATTTCTGAAAAGTAATCAATAACGACAAATTAGTCTGAGAAGAGGCAGTATTGATAAACGACATGTTATGAAGGGCAGTTTCGACAATGAAGGAGAATAATTAACGATAAAATGATTCGCGAAGAGGAATCAAAATAATGATGTTCAATTAGGTTATACCAGCTCGAAGGGGAGACTTATTTTGATAAAAAACTGAAATTATACATAGAAATTACAATAAATTTGAAAGACAAATGATAATTGATACATTAAAAGAGGCAGGAGCCAATTACAAGGCTAGTGAGTCATATGAAATCTAGTCCGTGTACAATAAAAACAGCACTAACACAATCAATTCGAAAGGTACAAAGAGTAAGAGATACAGCCATCAACGTACTGACTGCAAACACTCACGAGAAACAGCAGACACCAACCCGGACAAACGTCAAGACACTTGGGTCACTCTTAGATCTTCTCAGCTACCATTCAGCGTTATTTCCCTCCCTACACGATATATAGGACCCGGTGAACCATCTTCCACGCAAAGATGCTTCACGGTTATGATGAAAAGAATCCGCTGCTGTCATAGAACGACTCAAGTTCACCTTTAGTTCTGATCACGTGTTAATGCAATATGATCCACATCTACCAATCTCCGTGGCAGCTGACGCTTCGGCATCCAGTTTTGCTGCCATTCTATTGCACAAATATCCTGATGGTTTACAAAAAGCTGTAATAAATCCATCCACACTTCTCATATCACCTGAAAAACAATACTCACAGATAGAAAAGGAAGCACTCGAAATAGATTTCGATGTAAGACATTTTCACAAGATGGTGTATGAGTAGAAACCGAAAACCTCTTCTTTTAATTTTATAATCAAAACTTGGTGTTCCAGGTTATTCCACCAACAGACTACAGAGGTGAGCGGTAATATTACTGGGTTATAATTTCGATATTAAATATCGCCGAACAGAAGGCTTTAGACATATGGACGCACTTCAAGACTTATAAGTAAATATCCCACGCCCACAGAAGACACAGTTATCACACTCTTATCCACAGAATAAAAAAGGATTTCGCAATGATTAGAAACGTCGTGATGTGAGCGTATAAATTACATATAAGTTCAATTCTCTCCTCAGTATGTTAAGTACCTTGGACTTCCGGTAGACACCAGGACCCTGAGAGCAAAAGTACAATTCAACAAATGCCGATCGCTAAAGACGTCCCAACCCTCCATTCTTTTTTGGGTGTCGCTAGCTAATATTTAGCATTTCTGCCATCGATGGACAACGTGCGACCACCACTCAACCGACTGCTCAAAAAGAAAATACCTTGGGAATGATCTAACGAATACGAGTCTATTTTTACTAGATTAAATTTCATGCTCAATTCCGACTTATTATTGACATGCTTCGACAAAATACCAAAAGTGATAGCAGTAGATACTTCAGCATATGAGACGCTGTCGTTTATCATGTATTACCGGATGGAAAAGAAAAAGCAATTATGCACGCCTTACCAGTGCTTACTGAGGCAGAGATACGTTAAGCACATATAGAGTAAGAAGCTCTGGCCTTAATTTCGCGGTACGGAGGTTGCACAAACTGATGTGTGGATATAAATTTACCTTGTTGACTGATCACAAGCTACTTCTATCTGTCTTCGGAAGCCAATTAGGAATTCTTGGAGTCTACAAAAAGACTTCAACAATGGATATTGATTATGATTTCGACATACAATACCGACAAACAAACGATTTGTAACAAGCAGATGTCCTTACTCGCTTAATCAGAGATTACCCTACATTCAACGCAGATGCTGTAATCGGTTTGAGTTCCAGTTAAAGACACCCTTCAAAACCGAGTACTCCCATTAACTATCAACTTCATCTAATAATGAACGCTCAATGACCCAACGCTATAGCAAGCTATCTGCTTGACCCTAAAATGAAAGCCGACTTTTACGATTCCTGGTGAACTACAACAACTGTTTCACAGGTGTGAGTTCCTTTGTGTTGTTGATAACTATTTAATATTTGTTGATAGAATTGTATTAGTGCACTTATTATTAGATAATTTTATGCTGATAACCCGGGCACTAGGTTTATGAAATCAATCACATGGAACTTTACACCCTACTTAGAGGAATATTGACGGAAAATACACAAATACAATGATTTTCTTTAGTAGTATGAACCTAGTCAGATCTCATGAGTTTGGATGAACAATGGAACAGATATGAAAGCGAAATGGTTGCTATGCTTTGTATACAACCAAGATACATGTTTATAATGAATAATTCTAACGATTGGTGTAATCAAGGGCAGTAGTTTCGCTCGAAACATCATCACAATAAAAAAAACTCATCATTGTGTGTAAATATCCATTACAAAAATATTAATAATAAATAGACAGATGTAAATTGATATTCACGTGCATATTTGTGCACTAATCTAAGAGCTATTGTGTTATGCAAGAGCTGATAATACTAATCAGATGTTCAAACTGTGAACCCTCGAAACAATTAGTTAGAAATCGAGTTCGTTAGCTTTATGAACAATAGCTGAACAGCCAAAGAACCACAGTATAACTTAATACAAAATAAACCGAATGATGAGAAACTAATGACGTCATTCACTTCACACATATATCTATCATTATCGCAGAGATGCATACTTATAATTTCTAATATGTATTAAAATTATTGTATTGTAGATACGAATTTTGTATTCTTGAATCCAGTTGAAAAAAGGAATACAACTATGAATCAACTTGACGGAAACTTCTACACGCTCAAGAGAGATTTGAAAAATTTAATATCCAGTAAGTTACTGTTGTTGCCATTACTTAATGAAATGTTTTAGACACATAACATGCGTATCATGAATTCTGGAAAGTTTTGCTACCAAAGTCAAACAGAATTAAAGTTTCAATCACTTACATGAACATGACGTCAAACAAAACAAGGGTTCCGAAAGTTTAATTTCAAATCAACATTCGTGTGACTAGTGAGCTGGCAGAAAACTAGAAAATGCTTCTGTTGGCTGACTAACAAAATCAACGTGGAACCTCGCACACAGGTGCATCGGTTCAGGTTGCTATACTTCATAGTAGAACGCAAAGACCAAGTAGACAGAAACGGTGATATCAAAGTAGATGAAGTTGTGCGAGAGAATAAACAATCTGAAGATAAAGATGAGTTCAAATATTCAAGCTTTAGAAGATGCCAAGAGGTGAATACATCTGCATCACTGTGACCAATTTTCAGCCATTTCATCAATAGTTCTCAATTACTGATTCCCATCGTCTCAAGGACCCCAGCAAGGTAGTCTACATGGCTCAGACCAACAATCACAGACTTTGTTTGGTCACCCTGAATCATCCTGCAACCTAATCCAGCGTCTCATAGCATGGCATATCGAGGTAGGCGGTGGCTCGGCATGCGCAACACATGCCCAAGACACCTTAACCGACGAAGGTTCGCCGCGTTATCGATCGACTTGCCTGTCTTGCCTAGTACCCTTCGACTGGCCTCATTATTGCTCACACAGTGATTTCACCAAACGCGAGCAATGCTACGAAGATATCTGTGATCAAAACCCTGTAATCGCTTCATATCTTGTACTTTGAATGCTTCTGTTGCAGAAAACAACCCATAAGAGAATAGAGTTTAATGAAAGCAAACAATAGATATGTTCAACTTTTTTTGAATTGATTCAGTCGTTAAATATATATCAAAGTTGTTTTGATTACGGACTGACATCAGATGATGAACCACTGGAAAACTAGAACACTGGATTGCTTTTTCTTCCTAGTTTCAAACTCCTGAGTCAAGTGTACCCAAAAACCAATGAAGAGTAGAACCTAGGACTTTTAGATCTCGCAATGAACACGTTACACTCCAACCAGTGGACTGCAGTTTGACGGTTCACTTTTCTCAACATCTATCAATGCGCAATATACCTCAGCCACCATAGCCCCAAAACCTGACGGTTCTAGACTCTTTACGGGATGCTCAGGAGTGGAATGGAACAGGTAGTTAATGCCCCAGATTTTAATGTTTCGCTAGATAACTCAATTCATGATGAAATTTACTTTGAAATCAATTCATTTAAACACACATCCTAATGAATTCAGATTCATGTAGCTTCAGATGAAGGCATCTAACGAAATGGTAAAACTCTTGCTTGATCAGTTAAAGATATGATAATTTACTTGTTTAACAGCTATTTGCAACACAAAAGTGTGAACTAACCATTAACATGTACGCCAAAGTCGATTTTGCAAACATCGTCATAATTTAGGACAGTATTATCTCCTCCGTTGGGAGTGTAGTGAGCAGCACAATGATTGATTGAACAGCCAGTAGGAAAAGCTAACCCTGCAGTTAGTCCACGTTCTAAAATCAGTGCACGACTGGTGCGTTCTAGTTCTTCACACATATCAATGAGACGTACACCTGGACGTATCCATTTTTTAATATGATTCCTTGTTTGTCGATGAACCTCTGCACCCTCACGGAAGTGCTGATAAGTCTCTATATGTGCATTATCACGAGCTTTGCATTCTTCTGCTGTTGTACGATTAAGTGCTGTACGACTAAGATTAAAAAACAAACAATATTTCAATGGTGAAATAAAGTCACACAATAATTTAGAAAATTCGAGGTTATTTTTCAAACAAACAATCTCACCTTAGAGATTAAACAAACTTTCATGATGTTGCCTGTATTATCCCGTCATCGTTTGGATAATCAACATAACCCGCGAACTTTTGTTAGGTTGGAGCACACAAAAACTGGAAAAAGTACTTCAAACTTTGAAAGTTTTTCACTACACTATGATAGTCACTAGACTGCATTTATGATAAAGTAAAAGACCTGTTATTCCTGACCAGTTTTTCGATGTTACCACTTCCTACCATTTAGCAAATATTTTTTGTTGACTGTTTACTTTTATTTACCTAAACATTTACCGTAAACAGTGAAAATAAACTACATCAAGATGAGTGATAAGGGTAGATGAAATGTCGTGACCCATCGACTTTTATGAGGTACTTGGGAAAATATGAATGAATCAGCGGCACATTCTACTGTTACTTACTATAACACAAGTATCATAAGGAATCTTAGTATTAATTATATGCAACTGTACATCAGTACATCAATATGAGTATGTAAAACTGCTGTCGGAATAAAGCGCATCATTTGAAATACATTACTGATAATCTTCTGCAGCATTTCTAACTACAATTTGGTTACATGAATTTGTTTTTGCCACTATTTGATTCCAGTGTTTTGTAGTCATCGAATAAACGACACAATAGCTTTTGAAGATTTACATCAGTAGTGATTAGAAGTCTCAAGTGATGAAGGATACAAAGTGAAGAAATGATAAGGGAGAGGAACCGACGGATAAAACGAATGAGTAATTCAAGTAGTCTACCAAAATTCCTGAATACTTACTTTCTTTTAGAATTTAAGTCAACAATCTGGTCCCCCCACCAAACGCTTTTGCATTTTAGTATGCGTGTCAGATGAATCACTTGGTGATTCAGTATTTTTTGAATACATCAACTAAAATAACTAAAATGGTATTACAATCTAACGCAATGACCAAGTTTTACAAATACAGCCATTTCCTTTTTTGACATAATTTTACCACCTCAGCACAAATCTTTGTTGTGTTTGAATACTGACCAGGTATAAGAAGTCCTAACTACTCAAATCAGTTAGAAATCTGTCAGTTCGTTAAGTCATCTATCGACAAAATTTTATTGACCACCAGCAGCTGACCAAGAAGGTATTATATGGTTGCACTTTATACAGTCTTACTAATTTGCCAAAAGCTTATGGAACGGGACTCACTCAGGCAACCCTGTGCACATCCAAGCAGTAGGCAATGAGTCACACCTATTGTGTGAGGGCTAGTGATACTACCTGGCTGCCCTAACCTAGGTAGGTGGGGCGAGGTTCGAGTCCATAACCTACTGGTTGACAGTCATCTCCCTAAACCATTGAGCCCCAGCTCCAAAAGCTTAGGTTAAAAGCAACTGGGTTTTCGATAATGGAATAGTTTGAAGCTTGGAAGTTTCCGCCAGTAGGCAATGCTGTGATAATTCATACATGAACGATATTTAATACGTAGTAAACACATCAAGTACATATAATAGAACAGGTTAAATGATATGTGATATCATGGTGCTCTTCTTAAAAAATATAAAATGACAGAAAGGAGTTTTAAAATATAAATTAAAAGATAATTTAGACCTCGCTCTCAATTCATTGTTTTTATACGCAAATGAAGCATTTCTAACTTAACACATACAACAGTATGCTAATGTTTCCAGTTGATATGCTACTTATTCAGTCAACCGTGCGTTTTTCATTACTTCCTTATCGTTAAAAACCACTCAAACTTTTATATCAGAATTTGAAAGATTCCAGATATAATACGAGCACACTTAAGGTGATATGCTACCACGATCTCTTTTGCATACAATCTTTCATTCCTGTAGTCACGGTGATGATAAATATTTTAGAAATTACGTTGCCTAAATTTTTCCTAGTTGTTATTTAAACATTTTCATCACTACCTATGAACTAATCGATCTATAACAGAAACCAGCTTGAGATAATAATCTTACTCCCGTATTTTAATTAAAACTTCAACCAATTTAAACAATTTGTGCGACATCATTCTTCAAGACTTCAGGAAGTGAACTTTTATAGCCTGCTGCTTTGCTCCATATTACAATTGTCACACGTTTTTCAGTTTGTCAGAAGCTTGATACCTGTGTTTTGTCAGATTCTGGTTAATTATTTGGCAAAATTCAGCTAAAGGTCAGTGGAATCGTTTGGTTAATTGGTCCACCAACAACTTACGATAAGAGTTTGTCACTAGTGCGCCCCTTATAGAGGTGAAACACTATCTGGATCCTTCTACTCTACACTCACGAACCACAATGGCGTCGTCATTAAAAACTATCAGATGGATTTACCTGATGAAAATTCAATTAAGCGTCTTCACTAAGCACAACATGACCAACTTAAACACTTGAAGTAGTTTTTGATTTGACTCTGGAAAAGTTATTAGGTGTCCAGCAATGACTCTAAGTATACAATACATTTCAGAACACATGCAGCTAAAAGACTTCAAATCCCATCAATAGCTGATGTGGTGTAGTAATCTTATCTCATATCCTGAAGTGATAAATGTGGCGTAACAGTCAATATTCTAACTCCGAAAACCAACGTTATTTCTATTGTCAGTTATATTACACTAGGTGATTATATGCGCACTCACTACGAAAAATCATAGAAACAACTTGTGAATAAGGTAAATGTTTCCCTCACATGCTACTAAAAACAACCATAATTTTTCTGAAATGGATAAATCCGGGGGTTAGTAAAAGGATTGGCGGTTTATTAACAGGCAAAATGTAACATATAGTAAAAGCCAATCATTTTAACAACTGTATCTCTGGACTGATTGGTAAGAGGTTTCAATATTCAGAATTACAGAATATCTATTATAACATAGTTACCTGCATTCTCAAAATACTAGTCACATAAAAACAGAATTAAATATCATTGAGAAATATATGTATCATTGAAGTTTATAGGCTTAGCAGGATGTAAAAGCAAAACTCGACCAGTGAACTAACCCATCGGCATTCGGTTCATAGTCCATGACTTCGCCAACCGGATAATCCCCGTTAGGGTACAGCTGACAAATAGGAATGGAAGGGGGATCTGTCTGAACACTACTTGAAGAAGGTGCATCAGCACCTACATTTTTGGGTTTCGATTTTTTCTTAGATTTCTTGCTAGTAGGAACCGTATTTTGACCGTTGTCGACCACAATATTGCTTGTTTCATTTTCTTTGGCTTTGCTTTCATTATTACTACCATCAACACAGATAGAGTCCGATGTATTTTGTACAGGTTTTTTCTTGTGTTTTTTCTTCTTTTTCGCCGCTGATGTAATCGAAGGATCTCCATTTATTGCTGAGACTTCTTGCAACTTTTGACATACCTCATCTAAGCTCTTTTCAGAAGTTTTATCGGGCTCTGAAGTGCACTCCATGGGTCTTGTACGCCACTCAACAAGGTAATACTAATTAGACAGGGTGAGTAATTGCACTAAGCAGCCAAGTGCAGGAATGTATTAGAACAGATATTTTAAATGTGGCAACAGGTGGTAGGCTACAGAATGAAGCACAAGAGAGGGCAATCAAGGTCAGTGAGAGATGCTTCTCCAAAAAGCATCAAAACAAAACGTCAAAACATAAAAAAGGCTACGGTAACTAGTGTTATATGGAATACAATACCCCATTGACAGGAATTACATACAATACTTGCTAGAACACCCGACTTTGGCCTGGGCAACTAGGTAGTATTGTAAAGCCTCATATATTCAGTATGGTTCGTAAACTAGTAAGCGTGCTCGTACTGCTTATATATATATATATATATATATATATATATATATATATATATATATATGTTAGAAGCATAGGTGTTGGATACTTCACAACTTTCTACACAGTTGAATTAATTTACCCCTCAACCACTATGTCATAATTTCAGCCATAATTAAATATGATGATACAAATTTGTATAGAGTAGAATACTAGTGGCTTCTTAACAATTTATTCTTAAATTAATCAAGTATGCATACACAGATATACATTTCGGTATATTCAAACTTGAAGTGTTCAAGTAGGATAGTAGACGTCATGAAAGTACCAACTAACCTGTGGCTGGAGTATATACCAAGCAGAAAAAAAAAGAAATAACAGTTGGGTGCAACTCAGCAACCACGTTCATGTTGATAAGCCAAGTTACAAGACAACTATGTGGTACATAACACTAAAGCCTGAGGCTTCAGGCTCTCAGTGAGAGCAGCGGGGTTCGAACCACTACCTGGAAATTGAGTCTCTGAGCCGATGGGCTACAACCTTAGGATTTTTGTACAGGCCCCATTAGCCAGTGTTGCTATGCAACTAAGAGTAAGTTGATATCTCCTAGTCTTTAGCAATGCTTTTATGTGACCAACCGCAGTATATTCGTTACGCAAGAACTTACCATGAATGGTTCGTAAACTAGTCAAAGACCATGTTCAGTAACAAGAGTTTAGATCAGATTACAGCAAACGTTCCATCTAGTAAAATAACAAACGTTTTATTGTCAAAACAACTAAACCATATGCACCCTAGGATCAAGAAAGAATCAATAAAGTAATGATATGTAGTAGCCAATAACATGCAAGTTCACAAACCCATTTTGCAAGCTTTACTATCCAGTAAGTGTCACTAACTAAAAGGAGTACTTAAGAAGTTATATGCAACACTCGCTATCGTATGACAGCCTAAGACCAGCTACCGAGATCGAAATCCACTCAGCAACCTTGTGCATATTTGAGCAGTAAGCAACCAGCTACACGGTGAGGGCTAATAATACTACCTGGCTACACAAACGTCGGTAGGTGGAGCGGTGTTCGAAACAGTGACACACTAGTTGAAAGTCAACTGCACAAACCGATGACTTTACAGTTGAAATGATATAGTGCTGCTAGGCGAAGAAACCAAAAAGATAGTCTTCTGGAGATGAGTGACGTTTAGAGAACTTCGGAGAGTTGTGGCTCATCGACCGTTGACCAGTGAATGTGTTTACAGTTATTTACGAAGTTTGGATTTTGAGTGGAACAAAAACGATAATATCAGTTTCATGGACTGGCATTTGATCAACGGCCAATTTGGAAGACTTTAATTTTCAAATGGCAACAACAAGTCGATTTCGCTCTATTTAGCAGACGACGGTTTACATTTGCCTATTCTTAAATGCGTTTACTGTCTGTGCAAGACTACAAAATTAAACCCTCTTAGTTTAGTAACCACGTCGGCATACTCATGGAAATAGTTGACTCTTCGGAAACCGAAAGAGTAATCGTCAGGTGACAAGAAATAATGCATGAATAGCCTATTTGAACTATGTACGCATATACTGAAAAGCTAACATGCCTAGGAATGTTATAAGCAACAGGCTTTTAGTCAACCAGACGTTAAAATTGGAAGCTACGAACGTGCAGTTAACCCATAAGCTTAAAAAGTGAAGAGAATGAAATAAAAGTGTGACTAAACGAACAGATAACTCGACATAGAACCTTGAGACTGAGTAGAAGAGGAACAAATTAGAGGCTTGCGTCAAAGTTGGTGAGGGAAAGAGAAAAGTAGGTAGTGATACAATGTGTTAGACATAAAATGTAGGACGTTTCTGTAGTTCTGAACCATTTTTAACTAGCTAACTGAGAAACATGACAGTCAAGAAATGCAAATTAGGGCATAATTCGATCAACTACCCCTGCTTCCTGAATGCACATTGACAATAAATTTTAGAATACTGCATTTCGGAGACTCTGACAGCATTGGTTCTAAAGACGTTTGAGAACTGTTCACCTTAATAGCCCTCACCATGGTACGCGAAAGTTGTTAGAGATTTTAGTTTAAAGAAAGATGACTTAGTGACCTTTATTGAATAATTCTTGATGTCTTTATCTCAAATGAACATAGTCAGATTGTTCACAAGTTGGGCGTTTCGAATCACCTGTTAGCATTGGAAGAAAATTTCCAGTCTAAAAACCAGAAATAAAATTTCAAGTGAAAATTCTACAATTACACTAAACCTTAACATTTAACCAGCAGCACTGACCATAGCTGAACAAAAGTTACACAAGAGTAGATTTAGCGACCCAGAGTACTTGAGATGCGACTTTTCGACGGATGGAGGCTTCCTATAACCGTTATAATCGGTGGAATTGAATGGTGTTCATAACCAACCAAATGATCTTGGGAAATCTTAAACGCCGGCTGAATATTGACCAATAGCGCAGTGAAGATAAATGTTCATCTAACTCTTTCGCGATTTCATCCAGATACCGTCTATCAAAGTTGTTTGTACAATGGGTTACATAGATGGGAAAAATTGTTCGTGATGTAGAAATATGGTCCTTTATAGTTACACTGAAGTTACTGATTGCAGTGTTTAAATGACAAGTATATGACAAACGGAAATCTGTGGGAGATGGTGTTACCTCCTTCTCTGAGTTTGTATGAACTATTTAACGATATACGTATTGCCTACATACCATAAGTGGTTCAAATAGGTCAATAAGTTCAACTCAAAATAGCTTTATATCTATCGTGCAGCTGCTCAACCACCTCAGAGACAAAATCGTGGAAATAAACGGTATTAAAGGATTCTTAGGTGGATTGGTAATTGTCGTCGAAAACGCCGAAACTGTAGTTCATACGAGTTATTAAGGAAGGAGCACTACTATTGACTACGAACGAACCAAATGTCGATATTATCATACAATATTACTTCAACGGGCCCTGTGGACGAAGTGGCAAACCGCAGTGCTAATATGCTTCTACTTTAGTATTTAACATTACCTGGAAGGACGATACCTAAGTATTAGTGGTTAGTGTTTATTCAACTGTCTTTTCTAAGATGCTTATTGCTTAATGAGACATTCGTCTTATTTCAGTCACCAGACAGCATACTAATTCTTCCAAAGAATTTTGAGATATGTTTAAAGAAAGGACCTGATAAGACCTCAGCAATTAATAAATATTCGCTCGAATCCTTTTTTTTCTAGCAAAACCATGAAAATGGGCTTCTATTTATTTCAGGATCAACTGGTTACCTAAATGAAATAGTTTAGTTATCTGGCGAATGTATGCATTGGCACTGGCTTAAATTATTGATTGAAACTCTATTGAGGTTGGAAACCTCCCTATATAATCCACGACAAAGTCCGTCTGTCTGAAAGTCTTTAACTATTAAACGACATATAGTGGTGCATATAGCTAAAATGTCTCTCAAAAGAAGTGATATTCCCGTCGATTATTTGATAGGTTCCTAAGTTCAAGCCAATATTCCAATCTTCTGCTCAGTTAGCCTACAAACTATTTAACTTCACTGTGAATCCAAACATTTTCCAAGCATCTATAAACTATATGCAGTCAGAAGTTTCACTAAAACAAAACAATAGAATTTCACGCTTGTGATCGCGTTGAGAGAAAAGAGATAATTTGAACTTCCACCAACTGAAACCTTTTTGTTCAGCAACAGTTGTCATGACTAAGTAGATATACACTTCTGGAAACTGATGACACTTTACCTCGACTCTCAGCACCTGGGGTAACGCAAAATTTTGTAACCCCACCTAAATTCTTCGGTCCAGGTACAACAATTGGAGTAATCAAAATCAAATGAATGTTTTCACATTCAAAAATCCATTTTGGATAAAGTGAGACCTATTCAGTTTTGAAAACTTGGTCTTATTTTAAATGCCGTTGACAGCTGTATCTTGACGCTCGACTATATGCGTTCACATTCAGATTTGTTGTTTGAAGATAGGAGGCTGGGAGCCTATAATAATCTTTTTCCAGTAAATTTCTGTGCTTGTCCAATCCCCTTTAAAACACCACTTCTTCTGGGAGTCGGTTCTAGGCGTTGATTATTCGACGTGAGAACCGGAACTCTGTGGGACTACGTTCTTTGCCTTTGTAGTCTCCTACTATGTCCTCTGAGGTGTTCCGACCTAGTGGGAAGGATAAGAGAAGATCGGTCAGGTCCAAAGTCATTTCTTAGAATCCTGTGTAGCATGATTAAGTCTCCCTTCTGTCTGCAGTAGGAAAAAGTGAAGAGGTTCAGCTCCTTAAGTCGGTCTTCATAGGTGGGGCCAGCCACTGCAGGGATCATACTAGTGGTTGCCCTCTCAACTCTTTCTAGAAGGTCTACGTCACCTTTCAGACAAGGGTCGGTCGCTTGTGTACAGTTTTTTAATTTGGACCTAACTAAGAATGTGTATAAGATGGTGAGCATGTCAACGCTTATTTTCATGAATGTTCTACGTAATGCCAAGAGAGTCCTAAAACTTGGAGCTGCTACCAACCGATAGTGAGCCGTTGTTATCAAGTCGTAACCAACTGTGAACCCTAGGTCATTGTGGATCAATACTGAGGGTAAAGGAGTCCCATTAATATCGTGGGTGTTGCTGTATGTGTGCCATAAGTGCATGCTGTCACATTTATCTGCATTGATAGGCATCAGCCATTTCTCTGATCAGATTAACAGGCTGTTCAGGTCTGCCTGGAGCGCACGTATATCCTCATCGTTCCTAATTTCCCACCAGATTTTCAAGTCAGCTTAGAGGACCATGGGGGATTTCGTGATATTTGGCAGCTCACTTACGTGTAGTAGGGGGCCTAGGGCGGCGCCTTACAGCACTCCACTTTCTACCGACTTCCAAAAGGAGGGCTGAGAATTGATCCTAACTCTGCGTCTATCCATGCCAGCAGAATGCCACTGATTCCAAATTTTCCACTTTCCCGAGCAACCTGGAATGAGGTACCTTGTCGAACGCCTTACTAAAGTCTATGAAAATGACTTCTACAAGTATCCTATCATCTTCAGACCTAACGCAACTCTGTCTGGCTGTAAGAAGGTTCGTCAAGCAGAAAAATTTTTTACGAAAACCACGCTGCGAACGAGACAATAGAGCGTTACTCTCTAGGTGAACTATGACGGCTTTCTTGATTACTCTTACTAGGATTTTCCCCACAGTACTAGTCAAACTTATAGGTTTGTAATTTGATGGATGCTTCCTAGAACTTACCTTGTGGAAAAGCGTTACCATGGCATCCTCCCAGTCACAGGGAAGTGTGCCTTCACTGATAGACAGTCGGAATATATTAGTCAATGGGCTGGCTACACGGACTGCAAGCACCCTGAGCAGCCTTGGGTGCAGATCACCCGGTCCAGTTGATTTTTCCACATCGAGAGTACTTAATATCCGAAATACATCATTACGGTCGACAATCACAGGGTATATTCTATTGGACATCAATGCTTCTACTGTTGGATAACTGTTCACAGAGGATTCCTGTGTGAAGATCTTAGCAAAATATCCAGCCATGGCATCTGCTTTTTCCCTATCGTCCTCAATCAAACAGTCAGTTTCAGTCCCTTTGATTAGGGCGGATACACCACGACACGTTTTCGTTCTATAATTCGCATATGAAAATAACCTCTGCGGATGCAGCAATGCAGCCTGGGCAAGACGTGTTTCAAAGCATATTCCAAACCTGCGGATGGCAGCGAAACACTTGTTTCGGGCTTCTTCATAATGCTTCACCACTTCGGGTGTGGCTAGGTGGGTAGCAAGGCCCCAACACTTTTTCTTACGTAGTAGCAAGATTCGCATTTCATGGTTTATCCACGGAGGATGGTGTTTACGTCCTCGTGGGACATTCCACAGAATGAAAGGATTGGGTCACTCGTGCATATAACTGTTTGGAGGAGCACCACGCACCTTCAACTGACCGTCCAGTCCCTTGAGAAGGCTGTCGAGTTAATAGCTTCCATACCCGCTTACCATAAATTGGGCCTGGTACAACTTCGTCTGCTATGAATTCGATGGTGATCACAGCGTGATCACTTTTGCCAAGGGGTGCTAGGGACCGGATGAAGCACACATCATCTGTGTGTGAGAATTTAAAGTCGAGAACTGATGGAGCGTGTTAATAATCATGTCTTGTTGCTGTCGTAATGTTCTTGATGAAAACCAAGTAGATTGATGTTTTCACTAGCCTGTGACCAAACGAGTAACGTGGTGCTTTTGTTGCCAGTTTATCCCATTCAACTGATGGTGCGTTGAGGTCTCCTACCACTAGACGTCGGCATTTATTCGTCCAGAATGTCAGCTTATTGAGGAGGAAGTCTGCTTTCTCACATTCAGGGCTTTGATATATCACGATTTTAGTCGCAGAACAGCATTCCACGTGTTTCACTTTCATGTGCAACTGTTCCTGCGGCTTTTACAGTTAAGGTATTCTTAACGTAAAGGATGACACCACCACCTTTGCGTCCTAGCCTATCACTTCTAAAGGGGACGAATCCTCGTATGTGTTTCACAGCCACTGATCCAGGAGGAGAACCAAGTTTCCGGGATAAAAATGATGTCAGGGCTTTCGTTATTTATCACATTATTAAGCTCAGTCCACTTGTTTAAGAGATTACGTGCACTTGTGTACAAGACAACGAAACTACTTAAATGAGTTTCGGTCCTATCCGTAGAGGCTTCGGTATCATTTTGTCGTGCTTTTAAATCTGACCCCAAACTTATATACGTGTCGAGATACACTACCGCCTATTTATGATTCTCGACACTGCTGATCCACCTACGTCAGACAGTGTAAATATCAGGAATTAACGTGAAGTGTATATCAGAATGTTGCATTGGTCAACGAGCGAGCAAAAAGTTTTTATTAGTACGACCAGACGAAAATTTTCGATGAGGTGTTACATACATACATACACAACACAGTGAGATAAAATGCTACAATTTATTGCCGAAATCTCACTACATGAAAGCCCACTACTTTCAGGTCTCGCTCTTATGCTGCCAATCTGCATTTAGTCCTGCTTCTGCTTCTCGTTTTTTGACTCTATCAGCAATAGCCAGATCCTTTCGCACGAACTCTCCAGATCCTTTAAGCCTGTGAGCATCCTTCAGAATCTGGTTCCACTCATCCGTCGACTTGAACACGACTTTAAATAGCCAAAACTTGTTTTCAGCAATGACTGTCTCCTGTTTGCGTACTATATATGTCTTGAGCAGGGTGACTCCTGCAATTTTTCCGGTAAATCTGGTTTATCAAACTCTGTACCTTGCCAAGGTCATGTTCGAAAGGTTAACGTGGTTCGGGTCTCTACTTTCTTCAACTTGGTGGAAGATTACGGACCTGCCAGGGAGCTCCACTTTGTTTTTGCTCTGTGGAGTGATGACAGCTGGTTCGATGACAGTTATTGGCTTCTTGACATTCCACTTAGGCTTAGTTACTTACCATTTTTCAGAGTCGGGCATGCAAGGTTTACTGAGGCCTAGTTCAGTGGCCTTGGCACTGACAGCCTCAGAACAGACTTGCATCCCATTCTGTGTGATCTTCATCAATGATTAGGTAGCCGGACTGGGTATGGCCTGCTGCCTGCATGGTTCCGTAGTTGGCACTGAGGGTACTTCACTCCTGTTTCTTTCATCTGAAGTAGACCTAGTCTTACGGTCAGTAGTTTTTAAACTGGGTCTGCGAGAACCGGAAGATGCTCACTTTACCCTGCATGGCGTAGTTTTTTCAAAGCCTTTGTCAGCAAACCTAGTAGGTATTCTACGAATGCGACTCACAGCTTGTCGTGGGACGTTCTCAAAATTTCCCACAGCTTTCTTTGCTTCGATGGATGCTGTGTCGTAATCACTATCACCGCTATTGGCTTTGACTTTCGACGACAGTTTCTTAGTTATCGTATTCAGAAGTGTTTTCGCTCCTTCTACCAGAGTCTGAACATCCAAGCAGCACAACGAGCAAAAGCAGATACTTCCTGTGTTACTGTACCTCTTGTATGCTGAGGGTGTGAGGCTTGTACAGTTGTCGTGGAACCAACTCTTAAATTCGCTACACTGCATACCAGAGGCCACTACAAGATGGCACTCGGCCCTACCACAAGCAGTTTTAAGATTTTTTTGGCTCACCATGTAGCAGAAACTACAGAAATTCACCCAGTAAAAGTTCTTGTCCCACTTTATTTGAATGATATTCCGATTAGAGCAAAAATTCAACAGGCTTCCGTGTGTAAACACAACAAATGCCAAGAATCTAGCTGACCGTAAAAAGTCACTCCCCTTTTCAAACCGAGCGCGAAATTGTAAAATGGTGAATAGATTCCTACAAATTTCATATTGTTATTGAGACAGTTATGGTGTATGCAATCGAAAGCCAGAGAAAGATGACATAGGTTCTAGCCCGACAGTCAGTGATGCTAGCTCAAATATCTACTGTGGTTAGTAGATTAGTGATGTATGAACATCCTTTTCTAAAGCCAAGTTTTTAATAAAAGGCTTGCGGATCATCTTTAATTTTTAGTTTTTCATGTTATCTTTCAGTCGTTTTACTAACTATCACATCTTAATATAGTGAATATGAACTCTTTGTCATTTCTACTACCAGTAATTTTTTAGAAACAGGTAGAATTATTATGTCATATTTCAGTTTTCTGGTCAGAAAATCATGTTGGGTCCCCCCAATTGGATCCAAACTTTCCTGATAATACCCTATGCTCCATTATTATATCACTATTAAAACGAATTTCGTCTATGTGCATGAAATAATCAAGAACACAATTATTGAAAACTTTCCAAATCTCGTGGTGTTTTTCTTCTCGTTTTCTTCCTTCTACACTACGTGCTGTTGGTGCCCGTAGGACAGAATTAACTCAGGACCTGGGACTTGTTGCCTTCTGGTCTAACTGATTTGAAGTCTATCCATAAATCTCTGTTCATGTCAGGAGTTTTTATAAACAACTACGATTGTCAAAGGCCTTCTGGGAGAGTGATCAGCAGCAAAGAAGACTATGCTTATTAAAGTGAGTAGTAACGTAGAAATCTCGTAAACCAAATATTCCATAAAAATTGGAAATGAAAACGTGTAATGCGACTTCTAGTAAAGATGCCACAACACATCATAATCTCCAGTCGCATTGTCCAACTAAGTAAACTGAAGGCTGCATAAATTAGAGCTAGTTATTGAGAATTTTGTTACGACCAAATATCTGCACCACCATAATATAGCATACATTAGATAAACCAATAGCCACACTATCGATAAATAAGTAACCTTAAAATATCAAATGATACATAACAGATTGTTACTCCACATTTGTCGTTGTATTGTAAGCGTATGCGAATGCACTACCTATAGTAAATACTGCTTTTACATTCAAAGAGTTTTCATTCAGGTGGATAAGATCAAACGACACATCACTAGAATATGAGGACACCGCATCTCTCGATATAATCTACAGAGAAATACCTGTCACTCACGTACTAACTACACGAATTCCATTAAATCATATCTGGACCCCTTCCATTTCTTCATCTTTTCCTCTCTGACTTCCTGCTTTAGTCACTGGGATGCCCCAAACTCATGCACACTATTCCAACAGTTTGAAAATCATACTTGATATATCGGAATTTCGTTCACTGTCATGTGCACTGAAGTATTAAAGCCGTATACATATGGAAAATTACTGCTTACTTTTGGGGTCTTTCCGAAGAACTTGTAGCGTCATACACTTCCCCAAAATCAATAGCCTAGGGTTTGACGACTTTCGACATTGATGCTGACCTTGATAATTTAACTGGACTCGCTAAGCTGAAGGCACCCGGTCAAGCATCCTCACCATTTGGCACGCTGTCGTGTTACGTTGCACTGCTCGTATTCGACTCTCTAGCCAGTTAGTTGGAACGCATCGGTATTTTGGCATAACTATCCAAATATACTATTCCATCCGACTACGCTATCGTGTTCTACCTTGGTCTCGTATTCGTGGGTATATAACAAGTTCGAATAATTAGTGATTGGTCTTTGCGTCTGTCAAGTTCGCAGCAGGACAAATCTTAAAAACTTTCACCTGTCATGACAATATGAGGCTCAGGATTGAAGTCCTCAATGCTGAGGATTCAAAGCCAACAACGATATCTGTTTTCATTTGAAAGTTTGAATTAATATGTATTCAGAGGGTTTAGATTTGAGAAATGTTTCTGATTTTCGAAAACCTCAAACTAATATTGTAAGTAAACAACTAGTGAACAACTATACACGTTACTTAAAACACAAATTCAGTTCCATTTGGTGCAAAGTTAAAATGTAATACTTGAAAAGAATATTTGAATATTATAGATTGTCTTCTGTTTTAAATCGGGAAACCAATATTTTTCCCTCACCATTTGAAAGTGACAAGACATTAAAAAACAAACAGAAAGATTAAAATGTAGCTTTTCTCTAATTTTTACCGATCTAGTCTCTAATAAAAAGTTGTATTACTATCAGCATCTCTTTTGGTAGTTGTTGTTGCTGGTGGTAATGATGATGATGACTTTGAAATGTTTATTAGTTGGATAAAATATCTTTTTGATTCTGTACAAATGAATGTCCAACTGATTAGTACATAGCTTGTATTATTTCGTTTTCTTTAATCCTATGTAAGATAAATAAGGTGAAGAAATTCTCAATATAATGAAAGTAAGCGGTCAAAATAATTGCATACAATTATGATGATGATAGAAATAACAAGTAGAGGTGGTCTGCTTCACTTTTCGTAATGAAAAGTAATACCACATATCAGGAAAAAATCTCAGAGAGTTGCATTTATTTCACTTCAAAACTTTAATATATTGTTGTCGAGTTAAACAACACATTTTTCGACAAAACTAACATTAGAATAACTATAACTTTATCTAATCTAAGAAAGTGTAATCATAAACATAATGATGTATTTGTTTGCTGTTCAGCTACAATGTCTGTTTATAAAAAAACTAAGTTACACTACTGCATCCGCGAAGAGTTACGATGAGATATAAATTTTGAGGGATTTACAGTGTACAGTTTGGAATTCAGTTTCCCTTTTGGTTCATTAGTGTTTCTGGCAAGTTTTAAATTGCTCTTTCTCAATAGTATTCAATTACCTCTTTAATAAACAAGATATATATTGCCAGCTATTTAGAAAAATGGCCTTATTACCTCTATCTTTTAAAATGCTTGCTGACTTTAAAAAAGTGCAACCAACTACACATATGGATTGTTTGAAATAAAGCTTTCTTTAGTTATTTACCTGAGTGGTAGTTCTCTTGACATGTTAACTTCTTACATTCGCTATTACCAAATATGCATATGATGCCGTCATAAATATTACTTCCACTATAATCTCAGCGTGTTCAGAAGTTCGAAAAAGATTCTTTTTGATATTTCTCTGTGTAATTCAAGGCTTCTTCAGTGGATTGTTTAGTTTTGTTAGAATTTAAAAACATATATTCTGCTTAAAAAGCTGTAGCCTACACAAGGAAGCCTTCAGAAAAATCTTATTTTAATCTTAATATGCTAGTGTTATATTAAATTTTGTTTTATTACTGAATGAATCGGACTCAACGCTCAAGTTTTCTCAAGACATTCTTGAGAACTATAGTTTAGATATTCGGATGGACAATGTTTTCATTGCTCATTTCTAAGTCATTTATTTCGTTTGTTTATTATAAAATACTATTATTCTGGGGTAGCTCTTAAAGGAAGATTATAGTCATGAGTAATGCGTTATTCGCCTTTGGACTGCGCAGTTAGTAAACAATTAATTTTACTGATTATAGAAATTTCGAATAACACGTATGTATCAACAATACTATTGAACTCAAAGGAATAAAACACAGATACTTTTGTCAAGTGCATTCCAATGTTGAATTTATGGTGTGGATACATACAGTATGTTTTATCCAAAGCTTTATTCAGTAAGTAATAATGTTACATTGGGTAATATATTTAACAAACAAATTAGAATAATGTAGCCTGAATAGATAATGAGAAAATCTTAAAGTCTGGAATACATTTTTGTTTAATGCATACCTGACTTGCAGCATGTACTTGATTTTTAGAACTGTAATCCATGTTACGATCAAAGTCTGGACTGGTTAACCATGCTTTCAAACGATTCAATGATACACCATGAGATAATACTGTCTCATAAAGAATTGCAGCAACAGAGAACCACAGAGGGGACCGACGAAATAGATCTGTTTGTATGATAGGTTTTTAAGGTAAATGATAAAGGCTTTTATTAGTAAACCATGATAATAGTAATAAGTACTAATAATACTGATTTGATTTCAGTAATTTTCGGTTTCGTGCATACTTTTTCCTAACTTGGTAGTCGTATAAGGTAAGGTTAAAAGATATAGTTTCCCCTCTCGTAACTTATACCGTGGACTGATAGAAAACGTTTGACAACAAAAAAGCAGAGAAAGTGAGTTTACAGTAATGGAGAGTTTCTAAGTGCTTAAAACTTTTCCCATAACGGTTGATTAAATTACTATCTATCTGTTGAATGACAATCATATGACCTATAATTTTCGCCTACATTCAACTAGCAATGGAGCTTAAAAGTCATCCTATATGCACATGAAAATCAACACTGAATAAGTATGGTTCCACATAGCACTGCTTTTCATCAAAACACATAAACATGTGAAATAATCGCTATTAACCACTGGAAAGTCGCTTTAAGAAAAAGACCTCAGATTTAATTATGTCAAGTAAAACTAAATAAAATTATCAATTAGATTGTAAAACCTCGCCAAGCATACTAGCCGGTTCTAAGCCCGGATAAAGAGGGAGGGTTGGACATAAGGCTAGCAATTCTACTTCGTAAAACCAATCCAATAGCTGAAAAAACTTCAAGGCACGAAGAAAATATAAAACATAAAAACAAAATTATTCCTCGCTGGAATCGGAGAGGCGAAATGACGCCCATTGGTGAAAGCCTTCAGATAGTCAACTTACCAATGTGTCTTCTCTTCTCTTGATGAAAGCGACAGTAAACATAAGGACATGGAATGTCCGTACTATGTTCGAACCTAGCAAGGCTGCCCAGATTGCAAAAGAGATGAAAAGGTATCGCATAAAAGTGCTGGGAATCTGCGAGGAATCTACATATGGAATGGAAGTGGACTCTACAAACTGTCAACTGGAGAATCAATAATTTACCCCAATATTGTCACGCAGACGATAACCACGAGCACACTGTGTATTGGAGTGACTATCATGATGTTCCCAACAGCATCAAAGGCCCTCAGGTAATGGGAACCAATCTCCTCCTGCAGGATCATGACTACAAGATTCAACTCAAAAGAAAGGAAAGTTACAATCACACAATGCTACGCTGTGCACCTGCAAATAGTGCAGATGAAGAGAAGAAGGAGGGATTCTACAGACAACTGCAATCAGTACTGGACAAGACCCTACTCAGTTGGTGACATCGAAATCCTGATGGATGACATGATTGCCAAACTGGAAGCAGAAAACACAGGAAGAAAAATCATCTATCATGGGTCGAGAAGCGCTCGGTAAAATGAACGAGAACGGAGAATTTTTGGCAGAACTCTGTGTATTCAACGATCTGGTGATTGGAAGCCAGGCACTGTGTTCAAGCACAAGGATATTCACAAAGCAACATGGATTTCATCAGATGGACATACTGAAAATCAGATCGACTTTATCTCAATCTGAAGAAAGTGGGGACGAAGCCTACTTGACACAAGGTGAAGAAAAGGAGCAGACGTAGGCTCAGACCACTATCTAGTGCAAGGAACCTTCCAAATCAAGTTGAAAGCCTTGAAGGAAGTTGCTGATAGACCACAGTTCAAGTTCAACACCCAGAAACTAAAGGACATCTTCACGGCAGCCATGAAGACAAAATGGGAGATATCGAGCAACATCCCTGAAGAAATCTGTGTGGATGAACACTGGAACTGTTTGAAAGAGATGTGGAAAGAAACCTGCACAGCCGTATTAAGAAGGAAGGAGAAAGAAGATAAGAAATGGATCTCGACGGACACATGGAAGCTGATAGAGCAGGGAGAGAAGGATGGTGAAGCAGAAGATAAGCCAGTGCAAGGATGAACGACGAGAAGAGCAACTGAGTACAAGGTATGAAACATTGGACAAAGAGGTGAAGGAGAGTGCGCACAAAGACAAAAGACACTTCTGTGACACATCGGCAAGTGAAGCAGAACAAGCTGCTGATAGGAGAGACAGAGACCTGACAACATTGTATCAAACAACCAGGTTGCTTTCTGGAAGGGAAGAGATCAACACAGAAGAAACCAGTGAAAGATAGTGAAGGAAACCTGGTTACCAAAGAAGAGAAACAAAAGGAGTGATGGGCTGACCACTTCAAAAAGCTCTCGAATCGACCACCACCACCACCACCTTCAACTCGTCCCGAAGCACCATCAGCAGCCCAGCCGGAGAATTATCAGTGAACCCAAGCCCACCCCTGAGGCAGAATTGGAGTCCTGAACGCCATAAATTTGCGTAAGTCCGGGGAAGCAGCAGGACCAGATGGAATCTCGCCAGCAGCACTGACAACAGACGCAGGGAAATTAGCGGACATGCTCACATCACTATTGCACAAGGTTTGGAAGGAAGAAAAGTTGCTTGCAGATTGATCGGAATAAGGGCTACCTTGCCAAACTCCATAAGGAAACATGCTCCTGTCTACCGCAAGCAAAATATTCAGCCACATCATCCTGGAGAGACTATATGATGCTTTGGATTCAAAATTATGACCGGAACAGACTGGTTGACTTCAGGCAGAACAATTCATGTACGGATAAAATTGCAACGTTACGCTATGCATCATCATAGAACAGAGCATATAATGGCAGTCAACTCTCTATCTCAACTTCATTGATTTTGAAAAGGCGTTCCTTTGACAATGTCGTCCAAGAAGTAATTTGGCAGCTGCTTCATCACTACGGTTTAATGATACAAACCCTTATCAACCTCATTCAGCAGCTATATAATGAGGCCACATGCCAAGCAATTCACAATAGAAAGCTAAGTGATGCCTTTGAAGTGAAGACAGGAGTAAGACAAGGTTGACACCTACTATCACCGATGGTTTCTCCTGATTGTGGTGGACTGGATCATGCAACAAACCACGAGGAGCGAGAAGATGGGGATTCTCTGGCTGGACTGGTGAAAAGACCCTAGAAGATTTAGATTTCTCCTATGATGTTTTATGTCTAATGTCGAGCAAGCTCCAAGATCTGCAGACGAAAACCAACAAGTTGACAGAAGAGGCAACGGAGACGGGACTTCCTTCTGGTGAATGTAGAGAAGACAGAGGTGATGAAGAAACCCAACCAACAGGAATAACAACAAGCGCCAGTCACCCCCAACGGAAGAAACTCAAAGGAAGTAGTCTCTTTCACCTATCTAGTCAATGCAGCATCGTTCCAACTACAGGTGGCACAGCTGAGGACGCCAGAGCCAGGATCGGGAAGACAGCACGACAGAACTCCCTTCATTAACCTGAAATCAGTGTGGAGATATACTGCACTGCACTGAACAAAACGTGAACATGAACCAGATTTTCAATTCTAATGTCAGTCAGATCAGTGCTTTTATGTGGTTCAGTGACTCTGGGCGTTACGTAAAGCATTTCTAACAAACTACAGACATACATCAACAGCTGGCGTCAACTCTCACTCGATAATGACACTGAAAATCAGATGGCCAGAATAATAAGAATAATCAACAAGGAACTCGCTCCGGCTGGCTCGCTGGTTGGCAACGAACCAACCAAGAACTCATCGCCCTAACAAATATGCAGAAGAAGGTGGAGATGGATTGGGCATACACTGAGAAGACCATTTGGGGACATCACGCGTCATATCAGACCAGGCTGTCGAGTGGAACCCGAAGGGGAAGCGACGAGTTGGGCGTCCGAGGATGACATAGAGGAGGTGGTTTGAGAAAGAAATGAAAGCTTATGAGGAGTCGTGGAGCCAGGTTCAAAAGACTGCAGACAGCAGAGTGAAATGGAAACACGCTACTGAAGTCCTATGTTCAGCTAGGAACCCAAGGGAAAAATACTAATAATAAATAGATTGTGAAAGTGAAACCCCTATTATGAGCGTAGTTTTGACCTGTAGCTTAGTTGTCAAGATGTCTCATTCTAGGGCTCTGGACGTATACAAACAATAGAGATGATACTGACTACACAAATGGAATATTTCCAATGGGTAGAAATTTGTTTCATGAAATCCATACTACGTCCTTATAAAAAGCATTAAACAATATTCAGCAAACATGCTTTTCGTACGATGTTATAAAATGAATTGAATTCTAAAATCGTCGATGAGTACTTTGTGCCTGGACATAATCTAGAATAATGGATTTAATTGTGACTTCCTCTACAGTTTGAAGAGAAAATTGCTTCCAAATTTTCTGTTTATTAGGCTGGATTTATTTTCAAATGTGACGCTTCTCAACTTGTGACTGTCTTCACTGCCATTCTATATCTATCTTCAACCTCTTCAAAAGGTGGAAACACTTAAAATTAAGCCAATAGTACGTTTTGTAAACCTTTAATGATTGTTCACTAGGGCTTTCACTTAAGGTCAGACACAATGGACAAAGTAACTGTCAGCAAATATGAGTCGGAATTTTATTAAAACTTGCTACAACATCATACCCAATGTTACCTGCAGTGGATAGTGCGAACTCACAGGTCATAAACTACTCAAAATATCTTGGTTTCAATGTGACATTTTATTTTAATAAGTTGACTTAGCACTAGCTGGAGATTGAAGGTGAATAGTGGCTTGCAATGCAAACCAAGGCATGTGTTCCATCCTATTTAAGTTTCATCAGCTGAAAGAACCTTTCTTCTAGTGCGTTGTCCCTATTGAGGCTTGAGCCCAGCATCCGTGGCTTCAAGTGGCTGATCACCATTAACCAAGTCAGTTAGTTAAGGTAACTACTCATCGTACATCGATCACAGTTTGTAATCAGTATTTGTTATTTCTGATTGTCTATTGATCGGAAATTAATTCATAGACTCTTTTAAACATACCTCAATATAGCCAATACTGGCCATTTATATCGAAATGAAATTGCCGGTTACATCGAGGCAATTATTCAAGATTCAGTATACCAATAGTGGTCTATCACTTCAGTCCAATGAACAGTGGGAAATATTAAGTACTAATATCTCTCACTTGATAGTTTGAAAATAGCTATACTGCTTGATCTGGACAAAAAAACTACTTTGTAGGTTCATTCTTCCCGATATCCCATCATATAAAATTGACTTTCAAGTCAACCGAAGCCACTAAATTATTTTTCAATTCAGTTTCTTTAGTTTATTGTCGTATTTTTCTGCATAATTACTGTGTACTACAAAATGTAAGATAATTATACTGAAAAATGAGGCATTTCTTTGCATACAAATTTGCATCGATAAGATTTTCTCGTTTATACGGCGTCATATGAAAAAATATATTTTAAACTTGTGCAGATAGTGATAATACTTTGAGTTAGAATAAATTAAAGTGTAAATTTTACTTATTACTAAGTATATTAGAATGTCAAATCATTTCACCAACCCTATTCTCCAACAAATGATAATTAACATGTCATACTACTATTAAAACCTATCTGTCCATTCAAATCGAATGTTTATGAGATTAACAGTGTTCAGATTTCACAGTGTGGTGTTTCTCCACATCAGGAATGGTATAGATTAAGAGGGACAGAGTAACTAACAGATTTATTCCACTGACTGAGCAGTTGAGATTTGTTAATTGTTCATTAGTTACATTGAGATGATCTATGTACTAGATATATTTGGATAGTTTGACTCTCTAAACTGAATTCTCTTTAGAACACCATAGATGAACTTGGACAATTTTAGAGGCCACCCTAGCAACGATCTAAATAAGTGATTAGGTTTCTTCATTTCGGCTAGATAGGCATATTTTAATAAAATAGAGAAGTCTAATTGGTTATTTTAGTTTGCCTTTTAATTCACTCATGAGGTTGGTTTTGAGTCGTTAAAATGGCCGATCAGTCTTTAGATTATTCTGATTTAGTTGACGAGCCCTAGCATTTAATCCCAGTAGTCTTCAGATGTATATATATATATATATATATATATATATATATATATATATATATATATATATATATATATATATATATATATATATATATATATATATATATATATATATATATATAGCTTCTTTGGTTCGTCGCCAGCCAGAGTCCCTTGTTGCCTATTCTCATTATTCTGGCCATCTGATCTTCAGTAACGAGGTAGTGTAGGCAGTTGTTGATGAATGTCTGTAGTTTGTTGGAAATCCCTTTCGTAACCCACCAAGTCTCTGAGCCATATAGAAGCACTGACTTGACGTTGGTGTTGAAAGTTCGGATCTTGTTCACGCCTTATGCTGAGTGGAGTGCAGAAGATCTCCACACTGGTTTCAAGTTAATGAGTGCCTGTCTTGCTTTTCCGATCCTGACTTTGACGTCCTCGTCCATACTGCCTGTAGTTGAAACAATGCTGCCTAGATCGGTGAAAGAGGCTACTTTATTTTAGGTTTCTCCCGTTGATGGTGATTGGAGCTCGTCGGTGGTGGTGGTGTTGGTTGGGTATCTTCATCACCTCTGTCTTCTCTACATTGACTTGAAGTCCCATTTCCGTCGCCCTGCCTCTTCTGTCAACTTGTTAGTTTTCGCCTGTATATCTCCAACTTTGTGGGACATCAGACACAAATCATCGGCGAAATCCAAATCTTCTAGAATCTTTTGCCCGGCCCAGTGTATCCCCTTCTTCTTGCTCCTCACTGTTTGTTGCATAATCCCAATCCAGTCGACCACAATCAGGAATATCATGGGTGATAGTAGACAGCCTTGTTTCACTCCTGTCTTCACTTCAAAGACATCACTGAGCTTCCCATTGTGAATTACTTGGCATGCGGCATCGTCATATACTTGTTGAATGAGATTGATAAAGTTTTGTGTCACTAAACCGTAGTGTTGAAGCAACAGCCAAATTACTTCTCAGTCGATGCTGTCGAAGGTCTTCTCAAAGTCGATGAAGTTGGGGTAGAGGGTTGACTGCCATTCTTTGCTCTATACTATGATGATGCGAAGCGATGCAATTTGGTCCGCACAAGATTTGTACTTCCTGAATCCAGCCTGTTCGGGTCCTATTTTTGAATCGAGCGCATCACTTAGTCTCTCCAGGATGATGTGGCTGAATATTTTGCTTGCGGTAGACAGGAGCATGTTTCCTTATGGAGTTTGGCAAGGTAGCCCTTATTCCGATCAATCTGCAAGCAACTTTTCTTCCTTCCAAACCTTGTGCAATAGTGATGTGAGCATGTCCGCTAATTTCCCTGCGTCTGTTGTCAGTGCTGCTGGCGAGATTCCATCTGGTCCTGCTGCTTCCCCGGACTTACGCAAATTTATGGCGTTCAGGACTCCAATTCTGCCTCAGGGGTGGGCTTGGGTTCACTGATAATTCTCCGGCTGGGCTGCTGATGGTGCTTCGGGACGAGTTGAAGGTGGTGGTGGTGGTGGTCGATTCGAGAGCTTTTTGAAGTGGTCAGCCCATCACTCCTTTTGTTTCTCTTCTTTGGTAACCAGGTTTCCTTCACTATCTTTCACTGGTTTCTTCTGTGTTGATCTCTTCCCTTCCAGAAAGCAACCTGGTTGTTTGATACAATGTTGTCAGGTCTCTGTCTCTCCTATCAGCAGCTTGTTCTGCTTCACTTGCCGATGTGTCACAGAAGTGTCTTTTGTCTTTGTGCGCACTCTCCTTCACCTCTTTGTCCAATGTTTCATACCTTGTACTCAGTTGCTCTTCTCGTCGTTCATCCTTGCACTGGCTTATCTTCTGCTTCACCATCCTTCTCTCCCTGCTCTATCAGCTTCCATGTGTCCGTCGAGATCCATTTCTTATCTTCTTTCTCCTTCCTTCTTAATACGGCTGTGCAGGTTTCTTTCCACATCTCTTTCAAACAGTTCCAGTGTTCATCCACACAGATTTCTTCAGGGATGTTGCTCGATATCTCCCATTTTGTCTTCATGGCTGCCGTGAAGATGTCCTTTAGTTTCTGGGTGTTGAACTTGAACTGTGGTCTATCAGCAACTTCCTTCAAGGCTTTCAACTTGATTTGGAAGGTTCCTTGCACTAGATAGTGGTCTGAGCCTACGTCTGCTCCTTTTCTTCACCTTGTGTCAAGTAGGCTTCGTCCCCACTTTCTTCAGATTGAGATAAAGTCGATCTGATTTTCAGTATGTCCATCTGATGAAATCCATGTTGCTTTGTGAATATCCTTGTGCTTGAACACAGTGCCTGGCTTCCAATCACCAGATCGTTGAATACACAGAGTTCTGCCAAAAATTCTCCGTTCTCGTTCATTTTACCGAGCGCTTCTCGACCCATGATAGATGATTTTTCTTCCTGTGTTTTCTGCTTCCAGTTTGGCAATCATGTCATCCATCAGGATTTCGATGTCACCAACTGAGTAGGGTCTTGTCCAGTACTGATTGCAGTTGTCTGTAGAATCCCTCCTTCTTCTCTTCATCTGCACTATTTGCAGGTGCACAGCGTAGCATTGTGTGATTGTAACTTTCCTTTCTTTTGAGTTGAATCTTGTAGTCATGATCCTGCAGGAGGAGATTGGTTCCCATTACCTGAGGGCCTTTGATGCTGTTGGGAACATCATGATAGTCACTCCAATACACAGTGTGCTCGTGGTTATCGTCTGCGTGACAATATTGGGGTAAATTATTGATTCTCCAGTTGACAGTTTGTAGAGTCCACTTCCATTCCATATGTAGATTCCTCGCAGATTCCCAGCACTTTTATGCGATACCTTTTCATCTCTTTTGCAATCTGGGCAGCCTTGCTAGGTTCGAACATAGTACGGACATTCCATGTCCTTATGTTTACTGTCGCTTTCATCAAGAGAAGAGAAGACACATTGGTAAGTTGACTATCTGAAGGCTTTCACCAATGGGCGTCATTTCGCCTCTCCGATTCCAGCGAGGAATAATTTTGTTTTTATGTTTTATATTTTCTTCGTGCCTTGAAGTTTTTTCAGCTATTGGATTGGTTTTACGAAGTAGAATTGCTAGCCTTATGTCCAACCCTCCCTCTTTATCCGGGCCTCCTGCCGGCTAGTAGGTGGAGAACTAATTAGTCAAGGTAGCTGGCATATAAATATATATATATATATATATATATATATATATATATATATATATATATATATATATATAGCGTTCTTTTCACGCAACTCTTGAAAGAAATATGAAGTAAATTACCTCAGACTATGGTATTTATTTACGATTGTTTGTGCTCCATAGACCTATTTTTAATAGTAACTGGAAACTCCCGTCAATTATTATTGTAGCACAATTCGAATATGAAATATTGTTCAACAGAAAACACTATCTTTGGGTTGTAGGGAAATATCACTGTACTTTGAAACGGAGTGGTCCTATAAATTCTATTGTGTGTTGTGCTATATTTATATAGACGGTCGGTATAACTGAAACTTAATATACAGTCCTTGTTCTTAGTCTTTCACAAGAATTTTGTTGATTCAACAGTCCTTTTTATTTGACAAGCCATCATTTGCTAGTTTAAACTTATTCACCATAGAGCCCTCAATGCACAGATACTTCAGCCTATAATAGGAATGCTTATCAATGCTTACAAAGGATCTCATGTGAATTAAGGGTTATAACGTTTCAGCATAGTTGCAGAGGTGAAAAAAAGCTTTACATTACTGCTAGATTTCAACGGCTTCGTAGCTATCAACAGATTGAAGACTTTCATCGTTGGAAAGACTGTTGAATAAATAAATTGTCTCAGACTAACACATCTGTAACTCCTACATTATTACTGAACATCCTGAGTTAATCCTCGACAGTACTACAAAGCAGTGATTCTTTTCTTTAGCAGGCACAGATATATGACGAGCGACTTTTGCAACTTCATCTTAGAACTCTTAGGATGGTACAATTTTTGATCCATGAAACATACAGTAACTTACAATTTTGAAAGCGGAGCTTAATTATATAAGAAAATATGATCACGCTGGGATAATTAAGAATCTGTTATTATCATACCCAGACATCAGTATAATCGTCTGCAACGATAGCAGTACCCAAACAACGTGCTGGATTCAAGCCGCTTCCAGAATATCTAGCCTGTCATAGAAAGAGATAGGTATTTAAAAAACTCAGGATTAAGGGTGATAATAATGACAATAATAAGCGCTTTATTCCAAACAATATGTTTCATATATTACAAAATTCTCAGCAAGTCCAATACCAGAACAATATATTCAAACGAAATGATTACTGCATATGAGTGACGTTGAACAGTCGGCTGGTGTTAGATTAGCTTCCGATCAAGAGTGGAGCGTGTACAGAAAGTCGAACGCTTGTTCGGTGGTGACGGTTCATTCAGTCAATACAAGAGTCAACCATTCGAGCTAAGCGTCCGAGGGATGGAAATATGATGAATTTTCGCACATCAAAAAAGTCTATTTCAATCGAACTTTACATTTTTTTCTTCTTTTAGTCATCTACTCGAGAAATGGCTAGATGGAAACACTTTAAAACTGTGCAAGAGTATATGGTATGTTTTGAAGATATAATCAGATGATTAAAAAATCGAAAGCATAGAGTTTTACATAAACGTTCAGTGAAAAATGTTGGTAGCCAAAGGTCTAAGCAGGCCATTAAGTTATAATGAATATCAGTGCATTGTTTGCTTTCATTTTATAAACAACAAGACTTATCGAATACCAGGAATCACTTAAAATCGTTCTTTAACCCCATAAATTACTACTGAAGACCAGATGCTGTTATACAGAACTGTGGTATTTACTTAGTATTCATCCTTCTTCAATGTAAAGTGTCATACCTTCACATTCAGATAGGTTCATAGGTCAAATTCTTCTGAGATAGTTGATTCAAAAATCAGTCAGTCGTTCATCCTTTTTAATTCAACACATTAAGAACTTAGTTGAAATTTATTTAGCTTAGCAAATACTTTGATCATGAAAAACGAGCCGATATGTATCACACGACAGCTGAGAGAAACATCCAACGACTTAAGTGAAACTTAAATAATGTTAGGAGTCGCATCATAAGAATCAGTCGGTTAGCAGCTTGTCTGGTAAGCTGAGGACCACTGGTTAGAACCCACAGTCATCTGGAGTCATCACAGCACATGATACATTCGTCGAAAAATCTTTTTAGTCAAACGTCAGTTCTACGTAAAACGGAATCGTAATATATTCAATGATGAGTCTTTTTAGCTACTATATTCCCTAAAAATCTACAAGGAATGATTTCACAGTTGGAGTGGAAACTTGAAACTGATGTACTGATTGTTTTGCTGAGTTTACGCATCGAATCCAATGACAAGCAGCCATTTCAGAATTAAGTTTTCGTAAGAAACGTTGTTTGGTAGTTTTAGTGAAATTCTTTTATGCAAGATTCCATATGCATTTTTTGAACGCTGTGACAACTCTTGTTCTGCGTTAGAATTAAATGTGTTGTCAAAACCTCAACCACAGTGCCCAAGTTTTACTCTTATATTAATGAAACATATGGTCTTCCTGTTCGAAGACTAATCAACAAACTCACATGACTTTCATAGACAGAAGGCAGATACACAAACCACCGTGTATTCAATATTCGATGTCTCAGAAATCAAATCATTCCGAAATATCTACGTCTACGTGCACTGATTCCAACAGACAAAGTCAAAGCAGCTATAGAACGTGTCAGTAAACTCTGTCTTAAAGAAGAAATTCATAGAATAGTCAAAAAGTTGCACAACATCAAGAATTATATAGAAGATCTTAAGTGTAAGCTGATACAGACAGTTAGTGAAAAAGATTATGGGCTTCTGATGGACAATTTCAATAAAGCAAGATCAACCACATTCAAGAAATCCCAAAATACTCAGATTAAGAAGTTCAACAAACTTATGGAAGGAAAGCATGCAGTGTACAGTAATGAAATTAACAGTAGCATATCACCAATGATCGATAAGTCAAAGTGGGTTGTCAATCTCTTAAATAGAGTCCTAAGCTCAACAGAAGTGAAAGTGCTAGCGAAAGGTCTTAATTTCAATGTAGCGGTTAATGAGTTAAAACCAGAAGATATCATTCTCAAAATAGAAATAGCTTTACGTTCAGTAGGTAAGACAGTTGCAGATGAGGTAAGAGCACAGTATGCTCTAACACTGAAATGACAGAAGAAAATGAAATATAATTTACCCAAGTTAGAGAGGGAAGCTCTCAGGAACCTTCAAAATGGTAACAATATAGTAATTGCCAAGTCGGATAAAGGCCACTCAACAGTTGTAATGAACAAATCTGACTACATCTACAAAGTGAACAAGCATCTAGAAACAGGACCATATGAGGAAATTAGGAAATCAGTGGATACTATCATGAATAAGGTCAAGAAATCGACACAAGATCTGATACGCCGGATAAAGCCATTTCCTAAGGAGTAAAAGTGGTTTAATTTAATGCCGAAAACTAATAATCCCAGTAGAATGTATGGTACTATTACGATTCATAAGCCAGGTTATCCCATCAGGCCTATAGTAGATTTTAGAAACACTCCGACTTACGAGTTGTCTAAATATTTAGCAATGGTGTTAGGCCCAAAAAGAAATAACTCAAAGTATTGACTTACCAACTCTTATGACTTGAAGCATGGATTAGATGACAAACACTTAGACGACAGTGAAAAAATGGTTAGTTTTGACATAACTAGCCTTTACACAAACATGCCGATTGACATGGCTTTGGAGGCATTTCGAAATGGGCTTAAAGATGACAAAGAACTTACTCAGCGAACTAAGCTGCCGATAGAGGAAATCATACTAGGAGTACGATTGTGCCTAACATCTACAGTTTTTAAGTTTCAAAGTAAAATATATAAACAAACTGAAGGTGTTGCCATGGAATCACGAATATCCCCTATCGTCACAGACATATTTATGGATAGTTGGGAACAGGTAGCCCTTCAAACATTTAGTCCTACTGCAAAGATATGGTTCCGATATGTAGATGATACGTTTACAGTACTGAATTCGGAACATATCAATAGGTTCTTGGCACATATAAATTCAGTAGTGAATGCGATCCGATTTACCTGTGACTTAAAAAGTGAAGAGAGTGAGCTAGCAATGTTGGATTGCAAGATTAAACGAACACAAGAAGGAAATCTAGAGACTAGTGTCTGTAGGAAACCTACCCATTTCAATCAGCAAACCTTATGAAACAAAAATACACTAGTCAGTTAAGTACATTTCATTCATCACAAGAGACTGACTCAAAACTTCTGCTCGGAAAGAATCGAGAAGATATGTTAGGAATAATTGATTACTAAAAGGCAAATAATGAATATTCATTTAAGGACAACATTTATCTTGTGAAACTCAAAAGAAAGAAGGATAAGGAATTATGAACTCTAGGTAGGCTTCCTTGAAAAACGTTTAGAGGAGGTACATAAAGTTTCAAGCTCAGGGTGAAAATCCAACGTGTATTTGAATCGTCACTAAAAATGAGGCTTAGTGGAGTCTGCCACCAATTTTTTTGATGACATCCTTGTAAGGCTTTTGGATTTTACTTTCTAACAAAACACTAAGAGTGAGAAACAACTTCACCAAAAGTTGTTATGACATACATCAATTATTCACAACAAGTCAGAAATATCGTGTAATGTATCAGGCTTTTTTACGAACTCAAATACTAACCAGTTCAACTCAGCTCTCAGTCGATTGTATTAGAAAACTTAGTCACCTAGTCAATCATTAACACTTATTTACCACATGACAGTAAATAAATAAATTAATTTGCCTAAAGTGATTTGAACTTCTAAAATTATTTGCATCCACCAGAATTTGTGCTCACTCACAATTAATTTTTTGTAACCTCATTCACAGCTACTCATTACTTAGAGACTTACTTGAATTTTTAGTTTTCATTATATTTTCTACTTTATTTACGAAAACAGTAATAATGCATACCAAAACGAGAAGATAGATGATTTCTTATGATAATAGATGTGATTTTAAGTCAGTTAAGAAATGATAATCACTTGAATTCAACCCGTTTACAGAACGGTAAGGTGCTTGAACCGCTACTCGAAGGTTCTAGTTTGATCACATGCGTTATCGTGGTATGTACTGCTGACGGGACCCAAATTTCGACAAAACAGATGTCATGTGGTCTTCGTTTTCAAATGGTTCCTGAACTATTGCACAGTGTACAGTACAAGCTATCTTCAGGTCAATCAGTTTCTCAAAACTATTCAAATGGACATTCGAAGAAATGTTTTATATTTCATACTGCAAAAATGATACGGCGAAAGACTGTTAGATTAGTGAGATAATAAGCGTTTACCAACCAAAAACTAACATCTCCTTGTAGGAAAATTTCAAACATTTGTTTCGGTGCCATGCTAGGGCAATATTCTGAAAAAATCTTGGACAAAATATGTCAACAGAACAAAACTAAGCTATCGATTATTACTGAAAACACCAAAGTTCATAGAAACTTCCACTCAGCAGTGACACTGATCCTTGGAACATAAGATAATGTTATTCTAAATCATACATTCACATTTCACGAGCATTGATTATGAAGTGCATTTTACAAACTACAAATTTTCTATAACTGTTACTGTTTGAGATTAAATTGTTAAAATTACGGAATAAATGTTTTACACAAAGCTGGGAATGCACACCGGCATCACACTTTAGTAAGACAGTATGTGGAGCATATAGGTGTGTGAAAAGCATATTTATAGCTAAAACTCAGATCCAGAAGAGTATCTTGACAATCACCTTTCGAATAATCCATTTTCTTAATCCCTTTGAGTAATAATAACCTTTAGTAAGTGGATCAAATAAGTGAAGAGAAGATCTCGGCTCGGGAATACACCTTCTAACTGAATATCAACAAATGCAAAAGCCAATTTAAGGGCTGTCCACTCATCATTCATCAAAATTTAACATAGGTATTTTCACTATGTGGCTTGCGTGTAACAGAGTATGTTCAGAAAGTATACAAAAAATAAAACTGACACCTTTAAACTAAATACACGATAGCTAGAGGCCATACAGCTGTTCAAATGCTAAATAATCATAAGTGGTATATTCTTTTTACCAATTATTCAACAACTTACCAATATTCCAACTAACAAAGCATGCACCACTCCCATTTGAAATGGCAGACTAGTAAATAAACCGGCTGTCCATATACTGGGTCTGAATTCATCAATTGAAGCTAAAATAGCCAGTACAATTGCCATTCCACCAAAGAATTCAAATCCAACAGCATTTCCTTGTGATACAAGTGGATTTCTTGCTACAACACCAAGTTTATCCGACTGTGCTAAACTGCTAGGTAGTAAAGCTTTAGCGATTATCGCGCCTAAAATTGCACCGACTATCTGAGCTATTATACATAATATAGCATAGATTATTGATATTTTTCTTATAAGTAATAGTGCGATAGTTACAATTGGATTAATCTGTGCACCACTTATTGGACCAAATATCCATACAATCCAAGAAAAGGTTAAAAAGACAATGATACAATCAGAGACGGGATTTCTAATTGGTGGGAAATTATACAGGACAGCAACAAAGCATAGTGTACCAGTACCGATTAATTCAGAAACAAATATACGCAGCATATAATAAAAATCAATTGTGGAACACTTTGGGAATTTATCCATTGCAGGTTTTATAGACACTGGTAAATTTTGTACACAATTTGATGTGGTGATATCGCTTGTCATTGCATACCTTTCTGTGAAGCACCTACAGAGTATATGTTGACGAAATATACTCTAGAAAGAAACAAAATACAAGTAAAATATACTTAATAGTTCTCTAACAGAAGGGTAAGCAGTTTAAACGACTATATTATGTAAATTATCAGAAAAATTGAAAATTCGGTTTACTTAATGTCATACATAACTTCATTGAATTTATACCAACTGTATATTTAGACCTATTTATCTACTCGAAATGTTTTGTTGAGAAACAATTTTTGACTTTGAACTAACAAATATAATAATTTTCATAAACTTAAAAGCGTGTGGAAAGTTAAGACCATAAATGATTTTCACATAGAAAATGTTCATGAACAAAATGAAGAAAGTCGAATCACTCTATGACTGATGCGTTAAAAATATTACAAAGATTTTATATGGACGTACGTGTTACTTAAAGTCAAATAAGTGGAAAAATATTGCTAAATAGTGAGTTATAACTTTTTTTTAAATATATGGTAAAGGCAACTATAAATTGTATGATTGGTTATACACTACATTGTTTGCATAGAGTTTTCTTATAATATAACTATCTATGTCATTTAGAAGAGATTAACATAGAAATGCGTTGGAACTAAGACTAACGGCAACTCGAAGAAGAATCTTGAGTCTAAAAAACCATAGTTCTACTCAAAACGTCATGAGTAATAAGTTCAGTTTTCGTGGACACAATGATACAACCGCTCATTTGCATACATTCATAGATCCCTAAGAAATACAGCCGGTTATCTGCTTGTCAGAATTGAATAACTATACATTTTGGTTTCGTAAATATCTTCTTGAAACGTAAAAATCTTGAATTTTTTGATAATTAAGTATTCATAAACATATACTGACAGGATTACAGGTAAAGTAGGACATAGAAACATTATGTTTCGATTCAGCTTATCACACTTTACACCAGCACACAAGTAGACCGAAGTAAAATAAGGGAGCTGGAAGAAAAAGAACTATGAATAACAACATTTATAGCTCTGAAGAAAGAGAAGGAAGAGGGAAGAATATCAGATAACTAAATTTTTGACGACTTGAATATAAATTAGTCGAATCACACTTGTGTGATCATTTTTTTCCGATTTCGCAATGAAAATGCTTACAAGCTCTACATGATTCAAAAGGTATGTTGAAATTCATGTATCATTTTAGTCACTTTTGTCTATGAAAGTTTATACGGCAATCAAATATTCAACCTTTTTCACTTCGTATTTATTCTAAAATTCCATTCAAAACATAACAGTAACGGGGCGAATAAAGTTTTCCCATTTAATTTCCCTAAATACCAATGTTTTGTAATGATATAGCGAAAAACAAGTGTAGTATTTGACGTTAAATTTGGACCTTAGTAAATATTGAGATATCAGTTTGAAACTGAAAACGATAGGCTACTAAGAACCAATATAACTTATTGCATTCGTATTGGATTTTATTAAACATTAGATGCTCTTGAATAATTCAGCTTCTCATGTAGGTAAAATAATGAATTTGTACAACCATTTGTCAATATTATAAGAGTAATCAGCTACAATACTATTAGTTTCAAAAGTGCTAAATATCAAACTAGTTTTCATATCAGTAGTCTTCATAAACTCGTATAACTCAATGAGAACAGTATTTACGTAAGACAATAAACCTGACAGCATAGTTAATAGTAAGTGAAAACAAATACTTCTGGGGAATACAAGTGATTTCGTGCACTTGATAAAAACCAACATCAAAAATATTCTTCTCATAATGAGCTGTAGTTTCACACTCGGTTCTTGATTATGTTCCTTGAGTAACTTTGGATTAATATTAAAATTGCACTGTGAAATATCACAAAACTATCAGTTTCTTAATAGGATGAAATATGTATTTATGGACATCACGCACCAGGCACTCGAGTGGAACCCAGATGCGAAACGGAGAGTTGGGCATCCAAGGGTGACATGGAGGAGAAGGTGTGAGGAGGAAATGAGAGCTTCTAAGCTGTCGTGTAGCCAGGTGCAAAAGATTGCAGAGAATAGAATGGAATGCAGAAGTGCTACTGAAGCTCTATGTTCCATTAGGAACCCAAGGGACAAATAATAATAATGTATTTATGATTAAAAATATACGTTTATATTCCATAGCTTGCATAAACTTACGCTTTAAAATAGATTATTAGACAATGAGTAAATTAATTAACCAGCAGTAGTTACCTTCATCTAAGTTTATTTCGATGTTATAAAAAATAACTTACTGGTAAATCACAAGATGACAGATTACAATCGAATGTCCGTTGACTGTAATACTCTACCCTTTTTGTCAGTCTACGTAAGAAGTCAAACATTTGTCACTTACAAATTGTTTCCCATGAATTAACTTGTGGTTGGTTAGTTTGCGTAGAAATGAAATCGAACGGATCAGTTGGTTTATTGTTTACAGGGGTAGATGTTACTTATCTCCTCCCTTAAATCACATTCATAAGATATTTTGACTGTCAGTGTTTATTGACAACGATTATTTTGAAATAATTTGAACTCCTAAAGAGACACTGTGTTCCAGTTGTAAACTTTTATTCTTCCATTCATAAGTAACCAATCAAAATTGGTGAAAGATAGCTCAAAGGAAATATTAATGTTTGTTCTAAAATGAAACATCTTATTGAAAAAAATTTCACATTCGAAAGAATAGTCAGAGATAAACTTTTTGAAAGAAATTAGTTGTTTTGAATAAAGTGGCATATTCGTCAAAGAAATTGGTCAAGGATTTGGAGTGTGGAAGTACCATATTTGTCTGATCCAAAGAAAAAATATTAAAAAGTAAATGAACACTTTGAGATGACATGGTGATTTCTGTCTATTTATTCTTTGTACTCAACTATATCCAACTATTCACTATATTTTAACTGTGAAGTTTCTTCAGGCTACTCTTAAGATGTTAAAATAGGTTATAATTAACAATCTCGAGGGGCAGAAATCAAAGTAATGATCCATGAGGTCCGTCAGTAGTTCTTAAGAAGAGCAGTATATATTCCCAATAATTATTTTAGGCTTTTTATGTCAATTTTACCCCTGAGGTAATAGTATTTGGGACCATGTCAACTTCTAAGCTAAACCTATTTCTAGGCAGTAGACCGAAGTTTTTCCTTATAAAAGCGGGTATGCAGTCAGACAATGCCTCAAATTTTTCATAGGTTCTAAATAAGAGAATTAATGACTGTAAAGTGTTACTCTGCAGGAATTAATTTTAATTCCTAAACTCTGTAACACTGAACAATGCTATTTTCCAACAATTATCTGCTTACAATACACAATAATAGAAGTGCATTGGTGTTTGGTCAACAATAGCCATTTGACTGAGAATTACTGATAGATTCAGAAAAGAAGCAGGAAAATTCAATAATCAAGTCATTCCACAAAAAGGCTCTGTATATCTCTGGCTGAAACGTATTCTTATACCAGAGTTTTGTGGGGGAAAAAGATGAATTCACAAAACTATTCTTCACAAATCTACTAGATATAACTTTAAAATGAAACAAAACAGCTGTATCAAACTACCTCAAATAGAAAAAACATACATTCTAAAAAGCAAAAGAAACCTGAATAATCCCAAATATGGTGATGACGCCTTTGGTGCCACTAAGTGTACTTTAGATAGTTTTCCTCTTCTGAAAATCTTATACGTCTCATACTAAATTCTCATCCCAGTGGTATACCGAAGTTTATACTTACGTAAATTGATCAGACCAGCTTTTGTAATCTCCATCGATTGTGCAGTCACCTTTAACTTTTTTCTTGTCAGATAATTCTACACATTTAACACTTCATATTCTCTTTTTTCTTACATCTTGAACCTTTAGATACATACAAAAACTTGTTATACACTTCGACTTTTTCGGCGAATTTAAAAAAGTCAGTAACAAGGTACACTAGGACATGAACAGATGTTTTTGCTGCTATAAACGCTCTGAGAATAACATAGTGCAAATAAGCTCATATACTTGATGAAAAAACAAGTTAGATGTCAATTTTATTGCATAAAGAAGATGTAAACAAGTTTTATTCTAAATAATAAAGTTTCTTAGATACTTTTTAAAGATTCAAGCGAATCACATCATATTTGTATTCGAGGGACAACAGTACTACTGAAAGCCGTTAAATGCAGTAAAAATAGCGTAGACCTCAAAGACGTGAAAAAATAATCTATTCACATTCCTATTCTCACTAAATCTTTTTGTTATGAATGGATGACAATATTCAAATTGTTTATTGAAATATGAAAATGAATCGTTGGTACTCTTGTCGAATTATAGATTAAACTGATTTCTACTCCGTCAATACTCATTACACTAGAATTTCAGTAGACCGATTACAGCAATCTCAGGAGAATAGCATGAATCCATTAGATTTCGGGGTTCCTCAACAGTTGTTCACAACCTAAAACAAAAAAAACATCAAATACACATACCTCAATCGATTCGACAGGAATCTCTGAGTTCGTTTATTTAGATACTAAATAGGTTTTAGAGTGAAGGCAACCGGTGAGAAGCCATGAAATGCACTGGATCCGTGGGATTCTTTTAAAACCACCCACCTGGCTCTATATAAATTTATCAAGATAAGTTGTTTAAGGGGTAACAGAATCTTTAAATTTTAATTTTAATAAAGCGAAAATTGCTATTTGGACATTCAGAAAACAAACAGTTTGAGTGAAGAAATATTTCTTTTCAATTAGCTCCTCATAGATGACTCCCACTAGCGTATAGTATTTTCAGAATATAAAATAACATACCAGTCTAGTGATGATAGATGTGTAATAACAGGTTACCAGTCTGAAAGTATCAATGGGTTGATAATGAGTCAAGATGGTTAAAACAGTAACTAAGCTATAGGCTAACTTCACAGAAAAATTCATGAAATTTTTAACAGGTAGTTGTCAGAAGAGAAGAAATATCATGTCAAGTGGCCGATTGCTGATAGCATTCAGGAACAACAAAAAAAGAGAAAGACAGCTTAAACCGTACTAGTAATAACAATAATTACAGTCGATTGTGGTCTGAACGAAGGGAGGGATGATGTTTTCATAGAAAAGCTATGGAGGAGCCCAAGGTAAAGAAAGAGGCTGTACGAATTCCTTTTGAAAATACTGACCCTTTGTCACTTAGACCTGCTTGTCTTATCATAAGCTAGTTTGTAAAATCTAAAATGAAGCCTCCATCGCCCT